GTGTGGCAAATTAATTTTATTTTCAGGGCCGCATAAACGGTCGAGTTTTAAAGAAATGTTTTTAAATCAAATGCTGTGAAACTGTGAGAGGTATATTTTAAATCAAGATTAGCCATGCCTATATTTAAATTTTAGTCTCACTAAAATTACTTATTGTTGCCTTCAAACTCACGACAATACAGACAGTCAAAGTGTAATCTCACTCGACAATTATAAACAATATTAGTAGTTAGCAGCCTTACTTACAATGTAAGGACCGTTTAAAGCGCCGTTTTGGTATTTATATGTATCTGCATGGTGTGTATAACATCATTATGTGGGAGGGGGGAGGCATCTTGTGCAGTAATTCGTAATATTCTGCTAGCAGTTATTTTTCTACCTTCGACATATATAGCTGCACACATGAAGCTGTACATATTTATGTAGCTGTACACATAAAGTTGGACACATTTAGTTGGACACATGAGTTTGGACACATTTAGTTGGACACATTTAGTTGGACATATGATGCTGGGCACATATAGCTCGACACATATAGTTTGACACTGTATTCCACATATGTAGGATGCTAGACTATCGATACTTAGCTACCTCGTTAGTCACATGTTTTATTTATCCTCCACTGTAAAAAAAAGGCTAAAAAAATATAGGTAAAAAAATACCGATTCAACAAAGACCTTTTAGCACTTTTAATACAACATAGCCTCACCAGAAAGACATATCACCATTTTTAAAACACGTAATCACCCCATCAACAGAGAATTTTTAAAATATTTTTTTTTGAATACCCTACAAAAATCACCTCGGCAGCGAAGACTTTTTTTCACTACTAGACGCATACCACAAACAGCACAGATTCACCGTAGCAAGAGATAAACATGAAAACCTGCTAATTAGTAGTCAATTACCTGTAACCACAGCCACACCTGCCAGGCAAATGGCTGCACCTGAATGCAGTAGGTCACACACTTGGTAATGTGTTTGTTGATCTGTTTGCTTTAGCCATACCACGTCGGTTCCACATACGGATACGAATCGCACTACTTATTAACCCTAACCTTAATCCAAACCAAAATGACGAAGAATCGCTCTACTTATTAACGCTAACCTCAATCCAAGCCAAAATGGTATGATCATCATAACACTAACAAGCTCAGTGAATGAATGTCTTATATACGGTCAGAGTTTCTTTCAGGTATCTCTTCCGAAAGAAATAGAATAAATATAGAAAAAAATATACTTTCACCTGTGTTCGCCCGCCCCCCGTCGGGAGAAAAAGGTCTGATAAAAACAACTGTGTATGGCATTATTATGTTTATAATCATTGTCCATAAGACCCCCCCCCCCCCAAAAAAAGGGGGAGGGGGGGGGACCGGGGAAGGTTGGGCGGGAAAAGTCACAGGAAAAAAATACAGAAAAAGGTCATAGTTTTAGCTAGGAAAAGTCACAGAAATAAAATCACAGAAATTTTTGTTTTAAATATTTAATATATATTTTGATGTAGATGTTGAGAATTGTAAAATTTTGGGTATTTATTAATAATGTGCGTGGGTGTTTTTTGTGGGATATTAATAATATAACAATAATAAGTAAAAATACTACAAGATAATTTACACAGCAACCTAAACGCTTGTTACAAATTTAGTTAAATACCCGGTAGAAAAGTTACATCATTGTGTTTTGCATGTTTTTTGTCGTAGGCTTTTCCTTGGTCGGCTTCTTCTCAGTCTACCTTATCCTTCCATATTGTGTGTTGTTGACGTTTTGCGACAATGATAGCCTTTGTACCGTGTCGGCTTCTGATTTGATCCTATGCTATTTTATGTAATGAACGTGAAATTGTGGATAGTACGGGTGGTTGAGCTATTGTTGCTATGAGTTGAGGGCAGCAAGTCACATTAACTACGACTTTATGCCATTTCAAGCTAATTTAATTTAGTATTTAAAACACGACGAAATCCAAGAAGGTCGGAACATTCTATTAAATATCATATTTATAACGGAATTAAAACAATCATACGTCATACTAAATATTTATAGCGTTATAAATATTACTATACGTATACAACCTACGCACATGTCTAAAATGATTACATTACATTTAAGTTGTTTTGCACTTTCTGAAAATTTAATACATAATAGTACCAAATACCCATTTGTGACTTTTTTCCTGTGACTTTTTTCTGTTTTTTTTTTTTTTTTTTTTTTTTTTTTTTTTTTACTTTTTCCTCAATCTTTTTATTTTTTAAAGCACAGTCATTTTATTTCATGTAGGCACATTGCTACAATGACCCCGGGTGACCTGACATGAAATGTGTCTCGCTCGTCATGAGATGTGTGGGCAGGGTGAGAACGTTACGCAGTCAGCACGAGCCTACCTTGAACCAGAAACCAGACACGAGAAACAGCTAGCGCCGAGGTTTTAGGCGAGGGTGGGTGTTTTCAGGCGTGACCTTGTAGAATAAAAGTGCAAAGTGCCAGTCGAAATCAAGGCTAACACCTTTACCGTGTGTATGCCTACTCTAGATAAAATACATATAAAACATAACGCACTTAAATATACTTGAAAAATAAGGAAAATGCTCATACCTCTTTCGTGCGTTCTCCTGACAAAATTAAAGCATAATATACTTGTTTAATGACTTTACTTATTTACAACGAAATACAAAGAAACGAAGACGGTCGAATGAAGCAAAATAACTGTTAGCAGAATTATACGAATTACTGCACAAGATGCCCCCCTCCCACATAATAACGATGTTATACTCACACCACGCAGGCACAAGTAAATACCAAAACGGCACTTCAAACAGTGAGTAACGAAAACTGACACACCCTTTTCAATAACATAGCGTTAAACTATTACAGAAAACGTTTGTATAAACAGTATATATATATATATATATATATATATATATATATATATATATATATATATATATATATATATATATATATATATAATGTTGTGTGTATGTGTGTGTGAATGACTGTGTGGATCGCGAATTTCAAACTAGTTTTACAACTAAAAAACTGTAATTTTTAAACCTATCAATAACAGAAATACCATTCTTAAACAGGTTTATGCATCATTCTTGACACGCCCAACTGATATAGCTAATAATAAAAGTTTGTCTACGGGAAACTCGAGTGTAATATTTGCATATTCGTAGCCATGGGCGGATTTTTAAAACCTTGTTTGATTTTCGTGCTGCAAATTATGTAGAATGTGAATTTCATTTGTGATCAAGTTAAAAGTTTGAAAGGCTAAATTAATATTGTAAATGGACGTTGATGTGGAAATGCACAAGTTTAATCCCCCAAAACAATTTTGCACATAATAATGTCTACCGTTAAGATAAGTCAGATGACAAACATTGCTGTAGATTTCTGGGGATAAATAACAATAACTTTTTTTCTCAAAAAACTAACAGAAAGCTAAAAGAATAAGTATTATATGCCTATAGGCTATAGGTTTTAATAATAAAATTTTACCTAGACCTATATATATGATCAATTTACTCGAACTTGTTGGAATAAAATAAGGTATTTGCGAGCGGGGAAAAATATATATTCGTAAAAGGATTTTAAAAGAATAATAATTTAAGAAATATAGGCTACTCAACGATGGTTAAAAAATATTTAAAAAAAAATAAACAGGATTCCAGCAAAACCCACTTCTTTTGTCTCACCCCCACCCCATCCCCCGCAAAAAGATCAAAGTTATTGTTATCTTGTTTTGACTAGGCCTACTTGCTTTATGTACTTCTAGGTTTATTTATTATATGATATACCCGTATTATTCTTTTTTATAGGCTTGTTTATATATATTTTTTTACACGTGTAGACTATGACAAAGGGGTAATCGTATATTTTTCCTTACTTCGATGAATATTTTGGTTGAACATGATTCACTATTTCCAAAGAAACTTGATGTTGAAAAGATGTTTTAAGAATACATAAAAATAGTGTAAAGAAGGCCTTTGATTTTGTTTACAAATTCTTCAATCAGAGGTCACTGCTTCAAAAGTAGGTGACCGAATTCTGCTAGTCAGCATAAAACACTGTCCCGCTATTTTCAAATACGAAACTGCGGTTCTTGCCGTAGTTGTAGCTTCCTCGAAAAACACATGACCTACTATCTTTACGAACACCTCAGCATGACGACTGTTTCCAAAATTACATAGCTAAAAGAAACAAGAAGTACACCCAGTTTCGCATGGCTGCGCATTTTAGAAACTTTTATACATCTCGCTTTCTTAAATTATTTGAAATACAATATTCGAAAAATGTCCCGATTAAAAAAATCACTTTTGACCAAAGTACTATCAGCAAAAACATGGCTAAATAAACTTCTGTATAATCCAGTTGTTTATGCGATTTCATTTGATTATTATAGATCTAGAGATATATATTTAATACTAATAGGGTCTTCACTAGATTAAAAATAATTGTACATCAATATCTATAAATATACAGTAAAAAATAAATAAGGAATAACCATTCATCTGTATCTATATTTCTACCTCCTTTAATTATTTATTTCAAGAAAAGTGTACCTGTTATATAACTAGGCTATATTTATTATATCTAGGTCCCCAATAAGTAAACTAAGATTTTAGTAAAAAATTAACATAAATCTTTATTTATTTTGTAAGAGGAGCAAATTAATGCATTTTCACTTTTGGCATTAATTAATAAAAGAAAATGAATATACATTAACAACTTGAAAATTGTTAAATAAGTGGATACAATATGTTAAGGGCGAACAAAAAAAAATGATAGCCCTCTAGTTAAATATGTCTTCCCTTCCCCTAACGTTTCAATATCGACCAACAGCGACAACGGTGGCTTACGCGAGAAAACGTCATTGAACTTCCTTGGTCGCACAACAACAAAGAAAGCCGCTAGATCGACTCTTTTAACCGTGGTCACAGCGTGCTTTGCTGAGTCATCACATTGGAACGTCTCGCGCGAACTCATACGGAGCTAGAGTCGATGTGATTTGCGTAAACTACGTAATTTCTGATGCTGTTAGTAAACTTAGCGACCACCTCCGTGGCCATATCGTCAATTATAGTGTTTTTGAGTTCATCTGGATTATAAACATTGTGAATTCCATTTTAAGACAACGAAAATAAGGGAATATGAGTAAAAAGGTAAGATATTTCGCCCCGTATAGTTGTAGGTTGTAAACTTCAACGTTCAACTAGCACCACCATGTCTTTGTTTACGTTCTGTTTACAACACGAGGGTAGATGAATGGGAACTGCGCATCTGACACTTTACAACTTAATATACTAATTTCATCAACACTTAATTTTTTATACATATTTTGTTTGAAATATGTCAATACCATTGAAATAATGATTGTTTATTTTGAAAATGGGCGTTTCTATCGAAATATTGTGTATAATAGAAAGTAGGTCGCATGACCTCGTGAGGTGCGGATCTCTGTGTCATTGGTTGGACGAATCGAATTTTCCCACAAGTCGTGTTGTTTACCTTTACATTTCTAGACAAAGTTAATGAATACAAAAGACACATTGACATTAATCAAAGAATGAGATACTTATAATTGAATCTATATTAAGTACATTTAATATTACATCTCAATTTACATTAAAATATAGCGAATTGCATATCTATTAAATTATTAATATTGCCATGGGGAATGCCACGCGGGCCTAGCCTGACGAAGCAAGAACTTGAAGATCCGTTATCTCGACCTCGCCTAAGGCTAGCGTTTGTTTTGCAATTTGTGAATTAATACACCATAGACTACACATTTACCTACCGAATGATTTGTGGCTTGTTAATATGTTCGACTCATTTATTTTAAAATAATTAGGCATAAGTAAAATTAACATTAGAATTAATGTAGCAAATTGAAAAATAATAGATTTATAACCGTTAGGCTAACCACAAGAAAAGGGACTACCAAGACCAGATCTAGATTCTAGATCTAGATATTGTAGATCTATCTATAATAGTATGATCTGATAAATTAATTATATGTATTAGCCCTAATTATAAGCCTACTAACAGTGTAAAAGTAACTTTACCCTATGATATTATGACCAAAAATACACATTTTGTAGTGTTTGTCTAAATATAAATTCTGGTAATAATGTACCAATTTTACTATCACAATCCATTTTATCAAAGCAACAGCAATAATACTATTAATACAATAATGATTTTAAATTAATTAATGATTGTGTATATATAGCCTATATATGTATGTATATATATAGGCCTATATAAATATATAGGGCCTATATACATAGAGCATATATATATATAGGCCATATATATATATTTATACATATATTAATAATAGGGACCTATATATATATATATATATATATATATATATATATATATATATATATATAGGGGTCTATAGAATATAAATAAATATATAGCCTATATAAGGCCTATATATATATTCATATATATGTTTGTGTGTGTGTTTATACTTGTTGACTTTATTAATCTAACAGAACAGTAGGTATATTTGTCTATACTATTTCTAGATCTATACCTATATTAAATATTCGTTATACCGCGTTTACACTTGCGAGATGTATACTATACAATATACTATACATATATACTATACATTTCTAGAAAAAAAACTTCGCTTTAGGGCCTAAGATAATAGGGGAGCCCACTCACTTATTGCGAAGTTGTTTTTTTTTTCTAGACATGTATAGTATACATGTCGCAAGTGTAAACGCGGTATTAGGGAAACAAAACGTTTAATAGGCCTAATGTATGAAAAGTAGGCCTAAATTTTGTTTTGTTTTGCTGACGTAATAAAAACAATTTAGCACCTTTTTTTAGTCTCATTTTATTTTTTTCGCATTCACTACGATAAAGGGCAACAAACAGTATATAGATCTAGGCTTAATAGTAATACAGTGATAAGCATTGACACGTTATCATTATACCCCACATAAAAGTAAGTAGGCTATATCTCTAAGCCTAGGCCCCATGTGGAGTTGATAGCATTTTTATTTGACCAGATCTAGACGTCTAGATTGAATCGGAATTTCCTAATACTACTTGTTTTGAAATTCTAGTTTCGCCCTGGCGACCAATTCTTCTTTGTTCTACGTTTGAGAGCGTCGTTGGTTTCAAAATAATCTGCTTGCTCATGTCTTTGTTTAGTACATCTAAAAATAGTCTGGGCACGATCGTAGTACGGGCTGTTGCTGACTTCACATAAAACGAAATAAAAATACTAGCTATTCGCTGCGCTCTGCGCATTTCGTCATCATAAATGGGGCGGGGCTTTGACTAGGTTACGTGAGATCTCTGCTCATGCGCATCAATCACTTCCCTTGTAAACAATAATCATGTTGCTTAGGCCCTTACCCTAATTAAAATATGAATATAGATAAATTCTAGGTCTATAGATCTATGTAATCTTTTGGTCTATAGAATTCATACTATTCTAAAATATTAAACAAAATGGGCTACCACTTTAAAATAAACGATCTTTCTAAAACTAGATTCAAGATACTGTGATAGATTTATTTTCTTTAATGATTATTGATTAATATTTAAATTTAACTAACTTAAAAATTAAAATAAAAAGTAATGTAGATTTTATTTTTGGGGGAAAAAGGATTGGAACAGAAAACGATCTAGATCTATAATTATTTTTTTTTATTATATAGATCTAGATCTAGATAGTTGAAAATGTAGCAATTTACTATAGTATAGGCCTACATTTCTTTATTTCTTATGATTCAACTTCAACTAACATTAAAATATTTACCATCATGACCTTTGTAAGACAAACTTGATTGGCTATTTCTGTTCTATTTATCACCCCCCCCCCCCTCCTTAAGTCTATACTCTCTATAAAATATTAAAAACCACTTCTTTTATATTATTATTATTATTATAGATTTACCTCCAACATAACCATATTAAATCTTAAGAATAGTTAGATCTAGTTTCTATTCAAATTACTTTACCACATTGTTAGGTTATTTTAATATTTTGCTAATTATTTTTAGTTAGCAAAAATAATAACAAATAATACATTTAAGAAAAGTCATACAAATTTGACTAATTATGTGCAACCCAAGTTTTTATAATTATTAATAACTGCATACAATTTTAAAAAATATCCTCCAATTCAAGTTCAAATTCAAGCAATGTCTGGGATGATGCCATTTTTATTTTATTCAGCTCAGTAAAATGTAGAATCATATCTAGATTTTGTATGTTAATTAAAATAGTATAGGCTACTATTAATAATAACTGAATAATGAAATCTTCCCAACTACAATAAGGATTGATAACTTGATACCAGTGGCAGATAATGGATGTATGGAAGTTTTAACTTTTGGATAATATTACTTCTTAGATTAATTTCTTATTTTAGTAATATGTTTCTATATATTTTAATACTATTAAATTATAATAAGCTATGACAAAAACATAAAATAGCAACTACTACACTGTTAGTTATCAGTGGCTAATCCTTAATTTAAAAAAAACTTTTTGCAACGTCTTTATTCTGTTAAACAAAACTTAAAAAAATATATTTTTGGATGCCAAGAAATTGGAGGATTAATGAAGCCCATCTAATTTAAATATTGATAGTCTTAGGTTTTAGAGGATATCAATAAATAATATTGCTTTTTACTATTTAGTTTGTTATTTCTACTATCTATTAGGCTAGCTGCTTTTTGTCTGATAAATCTTTTCACAAGCTATACATTTATGAGCACTGATTATAGTACTTTAAAAAAATATAGGTATTTATAGCCTAGGTTATTTATAATTTAATAAACTGATTTATTTTAGTGTGCAGTTTTTAAGAATAATTTTTTTTTCTCAACTAGATATTTTTGTCACAAGTCAAGTCAGAGGAGCTTACGGCTGCTGCTGCTAGAGCTGTTAGTGCAAGTCCTCCTCTAACTCCAAATCACTCATCTATAAGTGATGATGAACTTGTATCCCTCTCTGTGAAAGAACTGAACCGCTTATTAAAGGGATTATCTAGAGATGAGGTCAGTAAACTTAAACAACGAAGGCGTACTCTTAAAAACAGAGGTTATGCAGCCAACTGTAGAGAAAAACGCATATCTCAAAAAGAAGAACTGGAAACTGAAAAAGATAAACTTCGTGCAGAGGTAGAGAGACTTCAGAGAGAAAATAATATTGTCAAGATGGAGCTTCATGAGCTAAGGAACAAGTGTGAGGCCTTGGAACATTTTGCTCACAGAAATGATATTCGAGTGCTAACACATCCTCATGTTGTATCTCCCATGCATGGTTCCATCGTTGTCAAAGCTGAACCGATGTTACCAAGTTCTACAGTCTCATAGCAACTTTGCTTCACAACAGGGCTACATTTTTATCTTAACATTTTAAAGCAAAATAAAACTTGAGGTTAACTATTCACACACACAAGAAATCAAGTTGAATCACAAGATGAAAATAACATGTATATCTCAACAAGCACTCGAGGCCTTCAAGTGAACTAATTGTAGTTACTGATTCCAGTTACTTACAAAAAGGGACTTCCAGAATTTTTTTCTTTAATTCTTGCTGCCAATTAAAAACTTGTACATTATTTCACAAGTGCTATGTATTGTGGTTTTTACCCAGTAAACAAAAATAAGCAAGTAAACTTCCACTCAGCGACAAAGATTTCACTCATTAACATTTTATTTTATCACACATTTAAACTTACATTTTAAACAGCCAAAAGGAATGTTTATTTTAAAATGTTTTTGTTTTGTAAAATAATGTAATTCTATGATTTATTCAGTTTCTTGCTTAAAAACACTTCTTTGGATATTACTATAAATATGTCTTATAAACTGTTACCAATTAAAGAACTCAGAATTTGGGAGAATAAATTGACCATTGAAATAAATTTGAAATATTCATAAATACTGTATACAAATTGTATACAAAAATACTAAATCTATATTAATATAAAACTGTAACACCTGTAAATAGTCATCTTTGAATAAAACATTTTAATGGAATATTAATTTACATGCTGTAGAAAAAGCATATATAAATAGCTTGTTTGATCACATTAACACCAATGTTTATAAAAGAAAGATATCATCAGTCCAGTGATTTATGCCTTCTTCTTTAAAGCAAAACAAGTAATTGTTTTCACAAATTTATTAAGCTACAAATATTTATTATTTAACACAAAAAATTAAACAATTTAAAGCAGAAAGGTTTTATTTCAGTTTAGATAAAGCTGAAAAGTAAATAATTATTTATTGTGTAGGACATTTTGTAACCATATAATTTCCATTCTTTTTTCAATTTCAAAGTTGTTGCTATATATTTTATAGCATGAATTGAAATGAGGTTGAACTTGCCACTATAAAATTTAATAGCTTATATTTGTTTAAACCAAACCAGTTCCTGTATCATATTTAAATATTTTTTTAAATAGACGTTTAACTTTTAGTATCAGTTGTTCAAAATAAATTAGAAAATAAATGTTCTTTAAATCTGCTACAATTTTTATAGTGGCAAGGACCTGGATTGTGCAATATAATTAAGTTTGGTTGAATTAAATTTAAAATGTAAGCATTTTATGAAACTTTGTTTTAACTACCATATCTCTTTTTGTTACAGATATAAAAAATTGTTTTTTTGATTAATATGTTTTGAATGCCTTGCCATAAGACTGTTACTTGATTTTTTTCCTAATGTCACATTTCAGATGGATTATTCTCTTTTTATGTAATAATTTTATTCCACATTTTTGGTGTCACTTTTATTAAATACAAAAAAAAGGAGAAATACTAGTAAAATGCCAAGGTTCTTTCATTGTAGCCAATGATCTATTATTTGTATGGTAGTCTGAGTTTCAAAATGCATAATTGGTTAGAAAATACGACAGTGTTCAAAAACATTTTCTGCATTGGTTACAGTTTCCTGACTCAGTTTTAGTTGTCTTAGTATTTAAAAAAACAAAATTTAATATTGTATTTTAAATTTGAAAATCCAATTAACCCCATTTGAAAAATAGTTTTAAAAATGAAGTCTCTACACCAGGTTTTTTAGTCTATTAAAAAATCTTTTAAAATACAAATGTTAATGCAAAAAAATGTTGACTTAAAATTTCTGATAGTGAAGTGCATTAAAAACCATAATTGGAAAGTCATCAATGAGGGTAAACTAATACTTTGTTAAAATAAACTGTACTTTGTCATATTGCATCTTCAACCTGTTCACTTTTGCATTAACAGTTTTTTCTCCATCAAGTTTTTCTTTTCATCCATTTACTCTCTTCATTGTGTATTTTTCACATAAGTTCAAATTCATTGTGTATATCCACTGACTAAACATCTCATTTTTACATCTAATTCAGTTTAACATTTAGAAGTAATCACAATAAAACTCCTTAATCAAAATGAAAAGCAATTTTTTTAAAAACAACATCAAAACAATTGCTCACTTGACTCTCATTGATTGCTGTTCTAAGTTACAATTAAACCATTCCCTGGATTGAAACTGAAAAGTATGAGGTTATTTTGTTTAACTTGTCAAGCTGCTGGTAAGAAAGCTCATTTTGTTTGTTAGTGATGTCGCTGATTTGTGTTGAAGGAATATATTTTCATTCTTAGCTAATACCAGTAGCTAATTTCTAATCTAAGTTTAATTATAAAAGTTATTACAGATTATCTCTCTTATTTTAGTATTCATGCCAAAATGGCAAAACTACCCGTGACGTTTTTTTACACCTTTTTTTTTATTTTGATGTTCTGCCAAACTGTTGTATTTACTTGGAATTAATACATTTAATTTTATAATAAAGAACATGAAGCTTAATTTTTTATCACTTTTGTTAGGTTTATAATCATAAAACTGGTATAACAACTCGCTTCTAGTATTTCAAGGCCATAATAAAAAAATATTTTTGCCTCACTTTTTCAAAGTTTTTAAGTATTTGAAATATAAGCTATCTAAAAGTTGATTTCACACTATCAGTACCACTAGGTTTCATGCATTGATTTAAAGAGATACATTTATCAGTGTGTCTATTTTTATTTTTGAGGGGATGCAGCTGTTGAATTTGGGAGCATAATGTTGTGTATGAATCATTCCAGGGGATGTCTGGTTTTTTTGTTGTTAAATAAACGAATTATTCTTATAAATCTGTTTTGTTTTTTTAAAAAAGATGATGTACTCTTGTTAATTGTCATCACATTTTAGAAAGAGTTAATTTTAAGATGTCTTAAAAGTTGGGGGGGGGGGGGGGGGGGGTTTCCTTTTTGGGTTGTTTTATATCAAGTTCATCTCCCTGTATAACACATGCTTCAATACCAATATTTTATGGTTATAAATGATGATTTAAATTGATCCAAAAAAATACTGTAAACAATATTTTTACAATACAATTTCTATAAAATCCAAGCATATAAATATAAAGGGTCTAAAAAATTTAAAGGGTTCAAAATCTAGTGATTTAATCCTAGCTTGGGTATTTTTTTCAAGATTTAAAATAGAATTTTAATGTTTTACATTGTTTTCAATGCTGCTGAAATGTGCTGGCTGTATGTTTTTAGAGGCTATTGTATTTTGATTATATTCAGTAGTGCACATAGATCTTGTTCACTGTTTGAATGAAGTATTGCTTTAAATGTATTGTCTCGGCTCTGAACTCAGTAAAGTTGTCATTATATGTTGCTTTTGAAGCATTATTTTATTTAAAATCTGACCCACACATCCATTTTTTAAATTTCTTTTGAAGATCAGAAGTTGCTTTTTTTATATAAGAAAAAAACATTGTATATTTACATTCAAATGTTTTTAATTTATGTCAAGGTTTTAAAAATCCCATACATTTCGACAGTTTGTAAATATAAAAATCTTGATGTTGTTTTGGTTGGATTGGGTTCAGTGTGGCTAGTGTCACCTCCCATTTTTGTCATTTTCACAGATACATTACAGATATCATATTTACATGTTCATTTTTCATGACACATTACCAGAATGAAAGATGATTGTGCCCTGCCAAAATAATGCAGTAGATAAAAACAAAATTTAGAACTAAAAAAGATCTTGTCTGATTCTGCTCATTTAGATTCAACTCAACATTTTGAGGTTTTTTTTTTTAAATTAGGAATACTACATTGTTACATATTTTCTAAGATAGAATGTTTGAGAAAAGATGGGTTTAAATTATTTTAACTTTTGAAAATGTAACCAAAATGTAATGTTAAATACTATTTAATTCATTATTCAAAAATAAAACTTATTGTTAAGTTTATCTTAAATAAGAAATAATTTGAGAAGAAACTACTTTTATACAAAATTTTATTTTATTTATTATGTAATAATGTAGGTTTCATGGCGTTTTTTTTTTTTTTTAAATAATAATAAGAAAAAAATGTGCAGTAAATAAGTTCAATGCAAAATTTTGAATTTTAAGTTGGGTTGTTCAGCAGATGTAAACAGAAGTGTATTTATTTATAAAAATTTTCCTATTAAATGTGCTGTTATTTCAACATTGATGATGACTGAATAGCACATTAAAAAACTTTTTTTCTACTTTATTAATACTTGTAAAACATCAGTGTTTCCCAGAATAGTTTTGGTGAAGAAGCATTTTGACTTGTTTGGTAATGGTAGCATAAATGCATCAGGGTAAAATGCTTGGTCATCAAACTGTTTGGGAAACACTGTAATAAAAATCAGTGTTTCAGCTTGAGCTTCTTCACTATTGTAATGGCTGGTGCTGGGTTTTATTTTGTTTGGGAATTTTATCATGTGTAAGGCTGTGAGCAAAAATTAAATTTTCAGTCAAAATCAAGAGGAGGATTTGGTGCATTTAAAATGATTTCTTAAATTGGGGGTCAAAATGTACGGTACAATTTTAATACTGTGGTCATGGAGTAATCTGTAAATTATATGTAAAATATTAACTTATTATTTTAAAATAAAAAGTGATTAATAAAATTAAATCTGAGTTTCATACACACGAAGATATTTAAGATATCTTTTTTTTTTTCAATAAATATTTTAATTTTGTCATTTTGCCCCCAATTTAAGGTAAAATATGCATGGTGGATGCTTGTTCAAGGAATAATAATTTAAAAATAATTATTTATTAGATTTTTATAAAAATTTGTTTTGTTTTTTAAATGGCATATTTTTACTGTTTTAGTAAAGCAATTGCCTCATTTTAATGGGCCATTTCCTCCATTTATTTAAACAAAGTTTATTATTTTTCTAAGAAAAATGCTTATTTATAATTTTGGCAGATGGTACATGAGTAGCAAATGTTTGTTAAATCATTATCATCATCATTCCAGTCTAAACATTTTGCTTCATTTATTTTATTGACAATGCAGTTTTTGCAATGTGAGCAAAACAGTTTTAAATAAAAAAATCAAACCTATAATACACTGTTTTGTTGTGTGCATTATGTTTTGTATGTGTATATATAATCTGAGAATGTTGGGTACATTTGATATATATAACTTGTTTATCAATTTATTGCCATTAGTAAGAACATTAGTTCGAATCTGGGTTCAAGTCAGTACACAGTCCCTGAGTCCACCCAGTTATGATTGGTACCTAACTCACATTAGGAAAAGTAAAGCCAGCTCGGCATAGTGCTGACCACACTATCCCTTCATATGCCGATGTCACAGAAACAGATAAACTCTGCTTCATAGACTGTCAGGTTTGGAAGGGGAACTTTACTACTTGTAAGAACATTATAAAGGACATTTTTAATAAATTAATTATTTTTTAAAATGAAAAATATAACAGCCTGTTCAATACTCCCCTAAGGTATCCTTAGAGCCACCTTACATTCCAAGTTTTCATAAAAAGCTCTGATGACTTATACCTGGTATTCTGTAGTGTCCTAGTATTTTCCACATGCTTTCCCAAAGTACATTATCAAAAGCTTTTTCAAACAGTGTTTCTTCCAGACTGTTTTTTTTCCCCGGGGGGAATGGGGGGCGGTCAACATTTTCCTGGAGGGGGGGCGGACACTAGTAAAAGTATATGTTTACTATATAAATTTCATCTCGTTGGGGGGGGGGGGGGGGCTCTGTTTTCAAAGTCAACAACTATGATGTATAGTGCACTGTCCCACTCCTCTGATTGTTTGATGATCAGGTGAAAGCAGAGTTTCTTTCAGGTACTGAGAAAAATTTCTGAAAGAAACACTGGGTGAAAGTGTGATACGTGATGGTACATGAGGCTTGTGATGTTGAGTTCACCTGTTTCAGTTAGCTTGGCATAAGAAGTGATTGCCTCGTCAGCACTCTGCTCTGCCACCCTTACCTTTGAGCAGTGGCGTAGCAAGGTCGGGTGTCACCCGGTACGGCACTTAATGGTATCACCCCCCAGAGGTGTAGCGACCCTTCGCGGGGACAAACTTTCAATTTTTTTTATTTGCACCCCCCCCCCCTCAATCAAACTTTTGATTTCCACCCCCCCTCAAGTTTTCGATTTGCAACCCCCCCCCCCCAAACTTTCGATTTGCAACCAACCCCCCCCCCCCCCCCCTCAAGTTTTTCTCTATATATTTTGCTATTTTTTGCCTTGGTGTCACCCAGTGGAGTAGCGAGGTCGGGTGTCACCCGGTGCGGCACTTAATTGTGTCACCCCCCCCCCCCAGAGGCATAGAGACCCTTCCCAGGGACAAACTTTCAAATTTTCGATTTGCACCCCCCATTCAAATTTTCGATTTACACCCCCCCCCCCTCAAGTTTTCGATTTGCACCCCCCCCCCCCTCAAACTTTCGATTTGCACCCCCCCTCGAGTTTTTCTCTATATATTTTGCTATTTTTTGCCTTGGTGTCACCCAGTGGAGTAGCGAGGTCGGGTGTCACCCGGTGCGGCACTTAATTGTGTCACCCCCCCCCCCCCCAGAGGCATAGAGACCCTTCCCAGGGACAAACTTTCAAATTTTCGATTTGCACCCCCCATTCAAATTTTCGATTTACACCCCCCCCCTCAAGTTTTCGATTTGCACCCCCCCCCCCCTCAAACTTTCGATTTGCACCCCCCCCTCGAGTTTTTCTCTATATATTTTGCTATTTTTTGCCTTGGTGTCACCCGGTGCGGTCCGCACCCCCCACCCCCCCCCCCCCTCGCTACGCCTCTGCCTTTGAGTCACGTGCCCATCAGAGTTGGCTGCACTCAGAAACGTCCTACGTGCTCAAGCCAGAGATCTGATCCGGAGACTTTTGGGTTGGCAGTTGTCTGCTCGACTTATCAACCACACGGTCCCTACCTGCTGAGAAAGACTCCACCAAATATTTAGGTTATCCCTCTCTTCAGTGGTTACAATCTCGTACGTCCTACTCAAAAGGGGGTCGTCCCCAAATGAAGTCACACTCGTTGGGGGAGCGGGGTCTGTAATTTTTTGACGGTGTGTGATGAGGTGGAGGAGGGGGTTTATATGGTGTGACATAGTTTGCATCATTAAAAAAAGGGGTCGTCCATAAATGACGTCACACTCGTAGTGGTGGAGGGGGGGGGGGGCGTCATTTTGTGACGGTGTGTGATGAGGGGAGAGGGGGGTTCAGATTAACAAAAAGCAATGTTAGAAAACGAATTTTAGCCGTTATTTCGGGTTTTAGAAAACTGTTTTAATAAATTGTAATAGAAATTGATTAAAATACTCTATATTCTATATTATACAGACTTCAGACAAGATTTAGTTTAGGAGATATAACAATGTTTTAAGAAAAATTCAACTGTAATTTTTTTTTGGGGGGGGGGGTGTAGTCATTTTAGCGGGGGGGGGGGGGGGGGGTCTGGCCTTTTGTGGCGATGAATGGCAGAGGGGAGGGTGGTCCCGTGGTGGTAAAAATCGTATAAAAAAAGCGTGACTTCATTTATAGATGACCCCTAAGTAAATAAAAGTGAGGGGGAAAATATATTGGGTTATTTTGTTTTTTCTTTATGACATGTTTAGCTCAAACCGAACCACTCAAGTAACCAATGTACTTCAATGTAGGCTTAAAATATAAAATGGATTTAAATAGTTGATAACTATTTGTGTATATGAAATGGATCTAGATTCTTACTTCCTTTCTAAGTGTATGTAAATGCTTAATAGCTCTACCTAGTCTAGATTCTAGTATTAATAAAAAGCATGGGTCATCCATAACTAGATCTAGATCTAGATGTCGCTTATTTTAAAACGATTTTTTCCTCCTTCCCTCCCCACCATCACACATCGTCGTCGCAAAACGCCAGAGTGACGAACCAACAACCCCCCCCCCCCCCCCCCCCCCCCCCCATCTTAAAATGACGAAACACCATAACTTAGCTTACTAATACTATCCCCATCCTCTGACTAAACTTAACTTTTATTTCTCAGTATTAGCCTAGATCTAATTTTTTTTATTTTATTTTCCTATCCCCACCCTCCCCCATTCATACACTAGGCTCAAACACTCTTCAATTTTAAAGTTTAAGAAGAAAATAGAATTTCTAGGAGAGTGAAATAGAATAGTTGCCAATGTCATCAAAATAAAATTATAAGACTTTCCTTATTGACTTTAGATCTAGACCGATAAAATTATTAATTAAGCATAGATCTTGATCTATCTGATATTCTAATTAAAAATCTAGATCTAGTATTTCTAAATAATCTTGCAAGATCTTAATCCTAGATCGAATTTTAATTACAATAATAAATTTAAATTAGATCTATGAGCCTGGCCTAGAATTCTAGCTAGACTAGTACAGTAGTAGCGCTAGCCGCTAGCCGCCGCTAGGCCTAGCCCAATTTTATTTATTTTTTTAAATTTTATAGTTTCAGTGAGTTTAAAGTTTAATAACTAATCTATATCAGTTAGTTGAAGTTATGAACTATTTTTTTTATTATTATTAGTCTAGACCTAGAATAGTACAAACTTAGTACTAATACTGTCTAATACTCATACTGTACTCAACTGTACTGTTACAAAGTGAAAAAATAATAGTTTCCACAAACAGCATACAAAATAATACATTATACATGGATCTCTTAGCCATATTAAATGAACAGTATTCATATGTATGCATTGTAGCTGTTATTATTACCATTATTGCTTTGGTGGTATCAACAAAGTACGCATTGAAAAATTTTCTCCGTACTCGTTCTGGAAAATTGAGTCAGAAAATGTCAGAAATTCCTGTAAGCTCTCCTTCTACAGCAGATGATTTAGATCAAGATAGTATTGACAACGATTTAGATGGAGACAAAAAAATGACAACGTCCAGTAAGTAAACTAAACTGAACTAACTAAACCTACCTAGATCTAGTACCAACAACGAAGCTAAGGTCAAAATCAAGTCAAAATGTTAGAATTGAATGCTGGTTCCATTCAGTAGGCCTACTAGACTTCTATAGGCTAACAGATGTCTGACAATCATCTAGATTTAGATCAGGGGTCATAGGGTTCAAATAATCAACTTGATCAAAGTGGTCGTCCACATTTTAAATTAAACTTGAATGCTTACCTACACACTACCTACATAGACAACAAAGATCTAAACATTTAACTTAAATGCTAAATGATTGATGCATCAAAACAGCTGTGCTAGGTTTTCAAAATTTAAATAAAACAACAGCTGAGTATATAATTAAATCCTGTAGTAAGCAAGCAATGAAGAAAACAAAGAGATGTTATGCAGTCTTTGTTGTAAAGCTACTTTTTCAAACCTGACAGTCCATGGGGCAAATGAAGAAGAGTTTACCTTTTTCTGTAACCTCTGCATACAAAGTAGTGTGATCAGCATTTATCTCGCTTTGGCTCCTTATTTTCAATTATAAGCCCAGTAAAAATAACTTCAGACTTGATAGTAATAGGTCAGATAAAGTTCATGTTTCTGTGACTTAGACATTTAAAAGGGTTTTGTTGTCACATCCATCCCTAACCACCTTTACTTTCTCGATGATTTGATCCCAGGATCCAAATTTTCTGTTTAACGCACTTGAGCTTCATCGCCCGACCACACAGTGCCAAATAATAAAAAAAAAAGCTATTTGTTAGATATATGCTCCCATGATTTAAATTAAATACATGCAAGTAATATTAAATAACACTAACATTTGAAATTATGTTTTGGTTCTTTTTAATTCTCTCTCTAGCTGGACACAATATTGTTTGCTCTGAGCGCTATCCCGACCCAGTTGATTTTTGTGAACACATCCAAGGAGAAATCAAGAGAGTTCAGCAGTCAGTGGCCACCAAGTCCATAGCCAAAAACTTGACAGAGGAACAGCTGGAAGAGGAGAGAAAAGTTCAGCAGAAGCAGCTGGCAGAGATTTACAAGCTGATGCAAGAACAGCAGGATAGATTTGGCATTGGGAGCATGGAAGACATGCAGGAACAAATGAGACTTTATGCAGTCTGAGTTTTCTCCACAGTTTTTATGATTGCTAAATACAACTGTAGCTGAAAAAGTAAAGAGAACTGTACATGTGTAATTTGATTGTCAAATTTCTGTTGTTTAGACATAGTTTTTGTATAAGGAAGTAGCATTCACTTTCTCCTGTTGTAATTACTATTCTATCTTTAAAACCTAATTAGAACTAAGTATGTAAACAAGTTATTCTTTAGGGTTGTCCTCATGTATGGACCAGAGGGTCCAATTCAAGTTTTCTTTTATGGATAGGTGGGAGAGGAATGCGATTTCATTTTTTTTATTATGTTAGGGGTCATAAATGGACAATGCCAATGTTCAGTATTATTTTTTCCTGGGCATCAGAACTCAAGTTTCAGCTTTCCTTTGTTGCTACCTGATAATTTTGAGAAACTTTACATTCATTTATCTTTTATATATATTATGTCTGTTTTATTTATTTTACACTTAGTTGTTATTTTTTCTTCAGATTCAATCTGGAAAGTTAAATTGTTTATTTTATCCAGGCAGGTGGAGAGCATTTGTTTTAAGCATTTACTGGTAGATCTGAATGCATTTATTTTCATTTAGAAGTAATTTGTAAAAAAATGTTACAAATTCATCACTGATCTTGCTAAATTACCTTGCTTTTTTGGTTCCCTCACACGATTTTTCCTAGTTACCTCACCTGCTGTACCCCTTATCACAACGTTGGCTGTCCTTATGTAAAAACTTAACTGGACCAAACCAGTACGCTCATTTTAATCTCTTATTTAAAAATATGTGTATAGATCCTAGCACTTGCCCTGTTGTAATCATCATTTATCTATTTTGATGTTGTAATTATAAACATTCCTCTTCTATACAAAAGGATTGATAATTTAGATAAACATAATTTTATTTGTGGCTTGTTACGTGATTGTGGATAAAATATTAAAATTGTCAATTTGTGTAATTATTTTTATGCATTTTCAAAGGTGATAATTTAGTTCTTTCAACAACACTAGTTAATAGTCCCATTTCTTTTTTTTTCTGCTATTAACTAGCGTATTTGCATAATTTCAAGGATTAAAATCTTAAAATAGTGATCTAGTATGAAATCATTAAAAATGTATTTGTAACTATTTCTGAAAAGGAAAAATTTAACTTTGCTAGACTACCAAAAGGAGATTCTTGTAGTTTATTATAGATATGTAAAAGAAAGTATTTTGTACAGGCAACATTTTAAACTAAGTATTTCATTCCGTCCTTTTATTAGTGTATTTTATAATCCAATTCTAATTTGACTTCAATATTATTATTGGCAATTTATACTTTTTTTTCGCGTTTGAATCTAGTAGTTTTATAAACATGAATTTTGTAGTTATTTTCTACAGGACAGAAAAGGAATGAGAAGTAACTGCTTTTTTTGGTAACAAGCTGTTTTATTTACATTGTAAACTTTGTGATAATTTTTAATCTCATTTTTCTGAAATAATTTTATTTCATCAATTATAAAATATTTATGTTTGACAAAATATGGACTGCTTAAGAGATTATGATTACATACAATTTTTTAATACATTGTCTTTTTAATCTGACAAAGAGTTTATGTCCAATTAACCATTGTTTGTTGTTCTTTATTTTAAAATTTCTTTTCGTACTTTTACACACAAAGCTTTCAAAAGGCATCCGTCATTAAGAAACTTTTTTTATAAAATTGTATGTGTAATCTATGTAAGTAGTACAGTATTTAATGCATGTATTTGTCAAGTGCAGGACTTTACATTTTAAAAGCATAAAAATAACTAGCATGCTTATTTCTACATCATATAAAACAAGTATCCTAGAGGTGCAATCTGCATAATGCTAAGGAATTGTAATGCACAATTTAAAAAAAATTCAAAATAGGCTTGAGATTTTATTTCATAAACTAAAATTAATAACAGTTGTATAATATACAGATAAAACATTGCTTCATTGACACAAACTTAAAATTTCACAAAAATACTTGAAAGAGAGAGACCAACAAATATTAAAAAAAAACATTCAATAATTTAGTCAGGATCATTTGATAACTTGGTCTGGATCTTTTGATGTCATAAATGTGTGAATTCTTCTGGCCTGTTCTTTTCCTATTTTCCTGTTGGTTGAGATCACACTAGCATTTCGTCTTACCTGTTTCATCAACAAAACAAGTCTTAGACATTTGCCAACAAAATTATTTTGAATATTTGAATTTAAAAAAAAAACACAAAGTTTTAATTTGTTTTAAGTTAAAATTATTAACTTAGTTTTTAAAACTGGCTATTTACATTTATTTCGCTTATAACACTTTCAGCTTCTTTATTTTCTTTGCATACCTGAAATGTTCATAAAATAGAATTTATTTTAATGAATTTTAAAAAAAAACCAACATGAACTTCTATAATACAATTTTCTATGTTAATTATAAATGAATATTAAGTACACATTTTCATTTTAAGCAAACTGAATTAAAGTATTCTATTTATCTTATTATGCTTAATGTTTTTTTTTTTTGAGTGATTGAAGTAAATTTAAGTAATAGTTGCAAATTTAAATGTTATATATTGACCTTGTTCTTGTGCTAAAGTAAAAGTGTTGTGAACTGATCTTGTGTAACAAGTAAAAATGCTGTGTGGTTTGGTTGTTGACTGCCCTTGTATAACAAACAAAAATACTGTGAGGTTGTTGACTGTCCTTGTATAACAAACAAGTAAGAATGCTGTGTGGTTGTTGACTGCCCTTGTATAACAAACAAAAATACTGTGTGGTTGTTGACTGTCCTTGTATAACAAACAAGTAAAAATGCTGTTTGGTTTGGTTGTTGACTGCCCTTGTATAACAAACAAGTAAGAATGCTGTGGACTGACCTTGTGTAACAAACAAGGGGAGGGATAATGGCTGAGTAAAGCATCAGCTGTATCTGCCCCTAAGTTTTTGAACTGCATCAGCTGGTGCTTCCATACTTTACTAAGGCCTTGACCTTGTTTATTGACATACAGGCCACTAGCTCCTTCTTCTAAGAAAGAGAATACACTGTCGAATCTATCTTTTCTAAGGAAAAAGTGTAGGAAAATTAATTTTAACAACTGATTATAGTATACATTTAAAAAAATATATAAATGCATCTGAAAATTGTTTTAAGAGTAAGTCAGTATTTGACATGTTTTAATTTTTTTTTAAAATCCAATCAAGGGGAGATAATCTTAAATCCACACCTTTGAAATGAAAATGTAAATCAAAGTATAATTAATTTTCTTTTGACCGAATGATGAACATAAAATTATTATATGCATTTAGTTACAAAATGATCTATCAAAAGAATGAAAACTAAACTTCAGTGCCCCAAAAATGTATAACCAAATTAAAAAAGCAGGTTTCATACTGATTTTCCTACACATTTATAACTTCCCACAAAGCTATTAAAAAGTATTTGGAAAGATGCAACTGGGGAAAGATAAGCCTACTTTGACTTGATAGATAAAATATCTTAAAATGTTGGATTTAAGAAAAAAAAATATTTTCTTATCAGTGATTAAACTAAGAAAATATTTAAGCCAAACTAGTTAGAGAATTAGCTAAGGCAGATTCTTACTTGGCAGGTTTATCTCTTACAGCTTTGGTGTAGTATTTGATATAATTAGCCAGGTCCTCATCTGAGTCCACATGCTGAACTACACAGCCAGTTATCAACTGGACTTCAACAAAAGCCTGGGCAATAATATCAAACATTTAGATCAATTCAATCAAATGTAAGAGATTAATATTAACATGCTCAAACTTGGCATATTTTAAAATTTACTTTGATAAACATATTTTTAGATTTTATGGAAACCTTACACAGATAAAACAAGATACAATTTTTAAAATACATCTTTGTAAACTTTGTTATAATTTTAAAGTATACCTCCTCAGCTTCTTGGGATGTGATAACAGCACTATCTTGTTTTTTCTTTCGCGCTTTAGAAGTTTGTCCAGTCACAGCTTCTCTATGTTTACGTTTGGCTGATAGTTTCTGGTTGCTAAAATTAACGACAAAGACATTTTCTAAAGAATCTTTTAAGTTATCTTAGTGGATACGATGGTCTTTGTTTGTTCTTAATTGTAATACTGTAGGGGATTTCCTCCAACACAGTCAGGTTAGGAGTCAGTAGGTCAGTTAACTTCAAAGAACAAAAACAATCTTTAAGGCAGCTGTTGTTTGATTTTGGAGTTTTTTCTCCTTGATGGGACTTTTGGGGTTGGCAGCTAAGAGCTCTCCTGCCAAACCATACTATTCCCACACTACGCTTTTAAACTGTACACTACCATTTAATGTTTACATAATATCAAATATAAATGTACTGTAGAAATAGCAACCAAGATGGTCACTAAAGGTTTGTTACTGAAAATATGTCAACATATGGGACCATTCCTGGCTTAATTCTGTAGACCATATCAGAACCCACCTGGCTATGACAAGTACCTGATTGAAGTTGAGAAACAAAGTAAAGGTGGCTGAGCCAGAAGGTGACCACACAATTTCTTCTATACAGGGGGTCTCATAACAAGATAAAATCACACCTGATCTAACTAAGGACCTTTGGAGTTGAAAAGGGTGCTCCACTACAATACTTGTCAATAAGTACTTTCAAAACTATCCAAATTGTTTGAAATCATTACTCTGATTTTTATTATCTGATTTTATGAAAGATATCTTACATACCATACCTAAAATATTTCTTTAAACCAACAATGAGAACTGTTAAATTCTGACCAGGCATAGCATCCAAAATGGAACTAACCCATTCTGTTAATGTCATAATCAGAACTTCATTTCCTTGTTTACTCTGAAATATATATAAACATCATATATTAAATGTAATACACTTTAACCTAACTAAGACTAAATTTATTTTTTAAAAGAAATCTGAAATATTTTTAAATTAATGTCAAAAAGTTATCATAAATGTATTAAAACAGGACATATTATAATGTAAAAAAAGACATTCAACAAAAATGTGTGCTAATATATGTTACTTACCTCAGTGTATGCTTGTATCATTGGTATTGCATCTTCCGCATTAAGTACACCCAGCATTTCTTTTGTAATGACATCATTATTTGAAATCTGGAATACAAGTCCATTTATAAAAAGTATCTAAGCTAACTTTTAACAGGACATTAAATAGTGATTGTTATATTTATATCCAGTACAACAAAAATAAACACTGAGACAGTGTAATCACAGAATGAAGGATAGTGGAAGGAAAAGCAAGGGCTACTGGGCTTACGCGCGCTCAAAGAGAGCTGCCCAAAATAGAGTCCGGTGGAGAGGTGTGGCTTCAGCCCTTTGCTTCTCACTGGCTTTAAAAGAATAAGTCAAGTCACGGAATAAAGAAAACAAAATCGTGCATGAATTGAAAATTTCCGAAGTGATCTGCTTTTGAAATTTAAGACTAACAACAGAAAAAACTGTGCTTACCGACTCAGTTAGAGGAGCAAGAAATGACACAGTTCTCTCTATCCTCTGAGGTACAAATTCACACTTGACGCCTATATCTGCACATGCCTTCATTAACAGTACTTGCTGTTTTTCTAAAGGTGCGATCGATGGGTCCACAAAAACTGTTATCATCTGGTATTTTTAGATAATAAAAAACAGTAAAACATTTTATAAAAATCTTTGGATAGCTTGTCCTAAAAGATACATATTTAAACTATTATCAAATGATGCTATGCTAGGCAGTTATTATATAGGCTAGAGTACTAATATAATTATATCTATATTTTAATTACAGTCTATGACTATTTGATAATAGGTCCATAGGAAAGTAAAAATGGCTGAACAGCATGGTAGGCTTCTGAATATTTTACTTAGTATACTATTAGAACTATTGTATAGAATAATAGTTCCCCTGTTCCTCTTGTAACCTGGAAGGGATAGTCACTATTCCTTTACTCAGTGGCGTAGCTAGGATTTTTGGGACCCTATGCAAAAATTATCATTGGGCCCTTTTGTCAACCGTTAGGCTACAAAGGAGTGAAAAGAAGAAATGAACTGTTACTTACAATGTAGGGTTTTAAATAACATAAATAATCTGTACATTTTTTATTTTATACATCCTGATTATTTATTTATACTATATTATTGTGTAGGCCTACAACAACATAATTTTGTAAAAATGTTACAGGTTTACAATTAATTTGTTTTTTGTTTTTTAAGTAACCAAATACAGGCGGGGGCAGAGGTGCTGTCCGCATTGGCTGACAACATTTAGGCGTGAAACCATGATGAATCATTGTAAAATTTACTGTCAAAATTATGTTGTATCCAGCTAAAATAATAAAAGATAAGTCAGAGAAAATGCAAAGTTGTTGAGGACGATGGGGCGACACCTTTGGTAAATGCGTAGGGGAACACCATCCTTGTGACGCCACCAACACATTTTTTTAAAAACTGCTTATGATTTATTTAGGTTTTTTCTCATGCTTTAAATTTTGAAAAATGATTGAGATCTATTTTTGCTGCTTCTGTATGTTAGATAAGATGGCTAAGTTACTGACCCAATGGGCATATCTACAATTGGTTTCATAACAAATTATCTGCATCATATTGAACAAATAATGAGATTAAAAATTTCAACATAGACATCACAATCTCCTTCGTGATCACAGTGGAATGTTAAGAATATTTATTTGTAACTAGCATACCCGTCCACGTTGCTGCGATCTAGTCCCTTATACCAGGGTAATGAATCATTTTGTAATGGTTTCATCAACGCATTAATAATTGTGTATTTTTAGTTATGTGACCTAATTTTCTATAACTGGGATAGTTAAAAGGTAAACAACGCCACCGTTATTTTTTTATATTTTTATTTTACTGCTGGGGAGCCGCCATCCAAAAAAAAAAATTAATGCTAGAAACCTTCCCTAATGACCTAATGCCAGAGTTTCTTTCAGGCAAATTTTCATAAAAATGTCTGGAAAAAAAAAACACTGCCTGGACTAAAAATTGTTGGTGACTGGATGAAAACCAAAAACTCATCATAAATTTAAAAATAAAAAATAATCAAATTATTCAAATTACATAATTCAATAATTCTGATTAATTCATAATTATATAATATATAGATCTACTCTTTTTACTTTCTCGTATATACGTAGTATAGAGAAAGTATTGTAATCGTGCAAAAAAAAAAAATCGAGATTTTTGCAAATCTCGACGTTTTACACCTCACTGATACGGAAAAACATAATTTTGCAATCTTGTCCGTATGTCTGTGTGTGTGTGTGTCTGTGTGTCTGTCTGTCCGTGTGTAAACACGATAACTTGAGTACCGTTACAGCTAGGTTGATGAAATTTCATATATAAGTATTTTATCAAAATCATAGATCCGTATCAACTTTTGAGCGATTTCCGATAACCGGAAGTGGTACTTTTCCTACTTTGAATTTTTCAAAAGCCTATAACTTGAGTACTATTTCAGATAGATAAATGAAATTTCACATGTAAGTAAAGATCTAATTCTCTACCTTCTGTTAAATTTTGAGTAATTTCCGTTGACTGGAAGTAGTAATTTACGCTACTTCCGATTTCTCAAAAAACTAATGTAAATTTTTAAAGTACTAATAATATTGCGCACTATTATACGCGTTTTTATTCGGCGTTTGCTTGGTGCGCAATGTTTTTTTTATGAGATTCTATTCTATTTTTAAAAGTTTAAGTATTTAAAATGGATTAAAAATCATAACTATATCCCCAGTTACCATCCCCTGTTGTTTTATATAAGAATATTCGAGAAAGTTTAGGGGAGATCACTACCGGTTTATTTATTATTATAGGCCTACACAGTTACATAGATCTCTACTAAAGCTCTAGTCTAGACTCTTACTTTGAATTAACTTTTGTCTAGTAGTCTAGAGTCTAGAGTAGTGAGTGACTAAATCTAGATCTAGATTCTACATCGCAATGATATTAAGACTTAATATCATTAATTATTACTTAATATTATTAAGTAATAATTTATCAATCAGACTCAGATTCAAATTTTTAAACGCAGGGATAAGTTTCTACTTTCGATATCGGTTTTGCTAGAGTTATCTTTCGTGGCTAACTTCCGTTTTAGAATTTTCACTATTTACAATTTACATAAAAAGAAAATATACTAAGTTTAAGGCCAAAACAATAGCATCATGATCAAACCATTGGAAGCCTGTGTCATAATTGCAATGCTTTTGCATTTATTCATATGTCCCTATACTAAAGTTGAAGAAAGTTTTAACATGCAAGCGATTCATGACGTGATCAACTATGGTTTTGAAATAGAAAAGGTGTAATAAAAAGACAAAAAAAAGTGCTTTACTCACTGTGTGACACCCAACAACTGTAGTTTTAGTATTTAATTTTTTGATACCAGATCTAATTATTTTAATATATATTTCTAGATATAGATTCTAACTTAATACTAAATACAAATAGATAGTCAGATAGATTGATACTGTACTAAACATGAGTTAAGTACCCATCAGAGCTGGGTGAAATCAGGGACATTCTACTAACTTGGACCCAGATTCAAACTCAAGACTTTCAAGTTAGCAGCCTAGTGCTCTACCGCTTAGGCCACACCGTCCCATAATTTAAATATTGTTTGATTTTAATTTATTACCGCAGCACAGCAGCCCATTTTCCAAGTTACTTATTTAAGTTTGAAAAACTATAAATAAGTATTATAAGTATTGCTATTAACTAGGTCTACTATATAGACTTTGTCTACTACTTCTTAGGCCTAATTATGGGCCTAATTAATTTAATTAAACTATTAATTAATGTAAGTAATAATAATAAATAAAAATAATTAACCTTAATATTTGTGTTTTCAGTATGACCACTTGGAGTTTCCAGGTGTTGTCCCTCGTAGTTTCCTGGGTCCCTTGGTTGTTGCAGCTCTCTCTTCACCATTTGTACTCCTAACTAACGTCACAGGAGCAAGTAAAGTTGCCCAACAATATATAGGTAATTTATGTAATAAAGCTCTGTTTGATTACCAATAATACATTTTGTAATTGAAAGTTGTTTTTTTAAAAGTTGCTCCAGTATATGTTACATTATGATGAAAATGATTATAGTCATCAAGAAAAAATGTTAAATCATGAATTGAACTAAGTAGAAAGATATACAGTTTTTTTTATCTATTTAAGAGCTCAAAAATTCAAAGATACAAAATTAATTCTCCAACAAATTAATTATTTTTTGTTTCATTTTATTTTTACATAAATTTTTCAGCAAGAGGCACTATTGGCTTGGCCACAGCTTTGTCATTTATTGTGTTCTGCCGAGCAATTGATTCAGTTTTTGGAAGAAGCATAAAAAATTGGCTGATCCTCATCACAATGACTCAGTTTCACTTCATGTTTTATATATCCAGGCCATTGCCAAATGTGTTTGCTTTAATCTTTGGTAAGTTGGCTTTTTCAATACTTGATTTAAATTAAATTAGAAATTAAGGATTTTCGCATAGCTTATGTAGAGCTGGGTGGACTGAAAACATAAAACTTTTATCTGGCTGTCTGGGGCTTCTATTATAATTTTCTTTTACTTTCAGCTCTGTTGGCCCTGGCTAGCTGGGTGCACCAAAAACATAAAACTTTTATCTGGCTGTCTGGGGCTTCTATTATAATTTTCTAATCTTTTACTTTCAGCTCTGTTGGCCCTGGCTAGCTGGGTGCACCAAAAACATAAAACTTTTATCTGGCTGTCTGGGGCTTCTATTATAATTTTCTAATCTTTTACTTTCAGCTCTGTTGGCCCTGGCTAGCTGGGTGCACCAAAAACATAAAACTTTTATCTGGCTGTCTGGGGCTTCTATTATAATTTTCTAATCTTTTACTTTCAGCTCTGTTGGCCCTGGCAAGCTGGGTGCACCAAAAACATAAAACTTTTATCTGGCTGTCTGGGGCTTCTATTATAATTTTCTAATCTTTTACTTTCAGCTCTGTTGGCCCTGGCTAGCCGGGTGCACCAAAAACATAAAACTTTTATCTGGCTGTCTGGGGCTTCTATTATAATTTTCTAATCTTTTACTTTCAGCTCTGTTGGCCCTGGCTAGCTGGGTGCACCAAAAACATAAAACTTTTATCTGGCTGTCTGGGGCTTCTATTATAATTTTCTAATCTTTTACTTTCAGCTCTGTTGGCCCTGGCTAGCCGGGTGCACCAAAAACATAAAACTTTTATCTGGCTATCTGGGGCTTCTATTATAATTTTCTAATCTTTTACTTTCAGCTCTGTTGGCCCTGGCTAGCTGGGTGCACCAAAAACATAAAACTTTTATCTGGCTATCTGGGGCTTCTATTATAATTTTCTAATCTTTTACTTTCAGCTCTGTTGGCCCTGGCTAGCTGGGTGCACCAGAAACATAAAACTTTTATCTGGCTATCTGGGGCTTCTATTATAATTTTCTAATCTTTTACTTTCAGCTCTGTTGGCCCTGGCTAGCTGGGTGCACCAAAAACATAAAACTTTTATCTGGCTGTCGGGGGCTTCTATTATAATTTTCCGCTTTGACCTGGTGATGTTCCTGGGACTGATCCTGTTGAATGAGCTGTTGGTTGGTCGCATTGGAGTGATCAAATGTATTGTCAACGCTGTTTTTGCTGGTGTTTGTTTACTGGGTGAGTCCTGACATTGGAGTGATCAAATGTATTGTCAACGCTGGTGTTTGTTTACTGGGTGAGTCCTGACATTGGAGTGATCAAATGTATTGTCAACGCTGGTGTTTGTTTACTGGGTGAGTCCTGACATTGGAGTGATCAAATGTATTGTCAACGCTGGTGTTTGTTTACTGGGTGAGTCCTGACATCGGAGTGATCAAATGTATTGTCAACACTGGTGTTTGTTTACTGGGTGAGTCCTGACTGATGTAACAATTGAAAAATCTCATGTGTGTTCCATACCAATTTCTACTAATGACACAATTTTGGAATCCACTTAAAAAGGGGTGTTAGGTTACAGGTAGTGAACTATAAACTAATGTTACTTTTTAATGCCCATTCTTACCCTATCACTGTTCCAAAATCTTACCCAAGTGGTAGTGCTAACCCTATTTATGGCACTAAGACTAATCCTGATATTACAATAAAGAACCTAACACATGTAATTCTGGAAGAGTCTGGTAACTAGTAACATCACTCTGTTTACTTTAAACTCACTTTATGGGAGTGACTACTAAACCATAGTCATATTAACACATGATTTAAATTTTAAAATACATCTATCCTTATCTTTCTTTAAATCAATATTTAATACTATATCATAATCAGTTTTGATATATTTTGTATAAATAAATTTTGCATAAACAAATCTATATATATATATATATCTATATATAATCCTCTTCTTGGAGATGTTAGAAAACACCAAGCTGTAAGCGCGCCTAGCTGTCCCCTCTCTTCCTCTCTAGGCATATCGCAACCACCCCCACATGGTTTGGTGAGCTGTGGTTCATGCTAAATGTTAACAATCGTAGAGCCAGGTTTAGTGACGGCTATTAGATACAGATAATTTAGTTTGAAACGATTTTAAACTTAGGGGAGGTAACTAAGAGGAGGCTGCTTTCACGGGCGGGGGGTGTTGGGGGAAAGGAGGGTTTTAGTGTTTTAAAGCAAATATTTTCAGTGACAGCATTGGTACTGTCGAATTCACATATTATGAATTACTGAAAAGTAGAAAATAAAACTAAATAGCGGCGTGTGAAACGCCGCGGGTCGGCTCGTATAAAGAAATTTTGCTATTCTATTATACATAAATTTTGTAAAAGAGAAGTTTTTCTATTGGTTGTTTGTCCACATAAATATGATTAACTATTGTTTATGTTTTCTCTTTTTATTTAGGTCTTACAGTAACAGTGGATTCCTATTTTTGGCAGAGATGGTTATGGCCTGAAGGGGAAGTAATGTGGTTCAATGTTATCCTCAACAAAAGTTCAGAATGGGGTGTATCTTTTCAAACATTTATTATTTACTTGTACATTAGTTGTTTTTGTTTGTAAACTTCATTCTTATATGAAATGAAGTTTTTCTTTTTAAAGCCAATTTTAAAAAACTTGAAGATCTAACTAAAATTATAAAGCTATAGATTAATAATTGAATTATTCAAGATGATGCATATTTGGATGCAAAATTTTAAAATCAAAGTTCATGTACTTAACTATCAAACAGACTTCGCCCTTCTTATGGTATTTCTACTCAGTCCTCCCTCGAGCCCTCTCGGCAACACTTCTCCTAGTTCCTGTAGGCATTTACCTGATGCGCCACGTCACAATACTCCTGTGGCCAGCGTTTGGTTACATTTTGCTCTTCTCCTTCCTGCCACACAAGGAACTTCGCTTCATCATCTACACATTCCCAATCTTCAACACAGTGGCTGCATGCGCCATATCCACCATGTGAGTATTGTAGCGTTGGATCAGCTATAGGATCAGCTATAATTGCTCGTAAGATATTTGGTTCAAAAACAAATTTTTGTAAGATTTTTGCCTCTAAAGTAAATGGCTTGAACAGTCAAATGCCCCCAAAAAATTAATTGATTCTTTTAATTAATTAAAACTTGTTAAGTAAAAATTAAATAATTTTCAATAACAGACATTTGTTTATGTATGTGTGGGTGAAAATCTTGAATTTTCTGTTATTTAAAAAAAATGCAACACTTTCAAGATTGTGATTTGTTGTACTTTGTTTTATTAACGGCTTTATAAAGTTATGTGTTGTTTCAATTTAAATAACAAAAAAAATTTGTTTTTCATGACTAATGTTTTTCTTATTGAGCAGTAGATTTTCCTTTTCAAAACTCAATAAATTTAAAATTCAAAAATTTAGTTACAAAACAATTCAGGCAATTAATTTTCAGACAAATGTTATCAACACAGAAGTATACTGTGTGTGGTTATACTACACCATAGTTAAACATAGATTTATGTTCAAGGTTGGTGTACCATATTCAACATGTGGATATACTAACACTATTTAAACATAGATTTATTTTTAAGATTAATGCTTAAATATAGTTGAAAATATCCATCTTTTTAAAAGTTGTGTTAATGTTAAAAATCCTCAGCTGGCATAATAAAAACAAAACAATCACAAGGAAGCTGGTTGCCATGGGAGCAATGGGTCTTCTGGTAGGAAACATGGTAATGACCTCTGGCTTCTTGTACATCTCACACCACAACTACCCTGGGGGGCAGGCGATGAAAATTTTACATGAACTAGAAAAAGATACCACAGGTAAAGTTCTGATTTCTTTTTTACTACATTTTCTGATGCGGCTTATTAAAAAAAATACAGTTTAAACTAAAGTATGTAATTTAAAGAATAGAGTCATTCAAAGGAGATAAAGTTAAAACAACTAAACCATTTAGTCTCAGTTGCTTAGAAATGGTTTCTTATAAGTGAATAAGAGATTTCTGTTTCATTCCATATTGCATCAATATTTCATTCTATATTTCATTCAATTTTTCATTCCATATTTCGTTCAATACTTCGTTCAATATTTAATTCAGTATTTCATTCAATATTTCATTCCATATTTCGTTCAATATTTCATTCAATATATATGTAACTTCCATCCCCCATTGATTAGTCCTAACTCCACTATTTCAGATGTACATGTACACATAGATGTGTACACAGCACAGACTGGGGTCACAAGATTTACCCAGCTTAGACCAGACTGGATGTAAGTACAGTGTTAGTGTACACTTGTACACAAGCCTTTTTTTCCAGTTAAAGTCACAATGAGGATAATGGTTTTTATTTAATTTACACAATTTGGTTTGTTTGTTTTTGAAAGGCTGTTTTAATTTAGATAATGCAGGCTCTTGGTTTTTGTAAGGCTATTTTGATATGTGGGTTTTAATTTTCTTAAGTCATTGTTGATTTTGACTTGTGATTTGTTGGTTTTTATAAGACTTTTTTGATAATGTTTTTTTTTCCATAGTTCTGTATTAATTTTGACAATTTGGTTTGTTGGTTTAAGGCTATTTTGAACATGTGGTTTGTTGGTTTAAGGCTATTTTGACATGTGATTTGTTGGTTTAAGGCTACTTTGACAATGTGATTTGTTGTTTTGTTCCAGCTACAATAAAACAGAAGACCTGCCCGCTGGTGGTGGCGACATGATGAAGTACACCCACCTTTTCATTGGCACGCCAGACAACAACAAAAAACCACTGGCCCCATACTCAGAAACACACACTGTGATTGCCCAGGTCCAAGCTTACGACAGACTATTTTTGGACAAGTCGTCGTTTCCCCCGTCATTCCGTATTTTACTGACTGAGAAGATCTACATCTTGAAAAGGAATGCCCCAGCTGCTTAAGACTTGGTTCAACTGTTTAATATAGGGCTGTGGAGTTGGATGATCTGACCTTGGACCAAATGTTGGGTTAATAAATGTAACTAAGATGGACTTGTAGAATTGAAGATTAGTATTCTAACACTGCAGTTATCTTAGCAAATTTAAAAACATAAGCTAATGAAAATAGTTATTTGTCTATGTTTTCACACTTTAGTGTTATATATGATTGAATTTTTAAATGTTTGGGAAAAACCTAGATCTCTTCTAAGCAAGTTTGTAATATTTCTTCTTCTAGACATCAACAAAAGCTTTGTTCTACTAGATTAAATAGCCTGGTTCAAGTTTTATAATTAAAGCTGGTTTACTTGGTTAATTAATGAATTGATTACAGAAATCTCCTTATCAGTCTAAGAGCTTCCAACTCCACAGCATTGGTTGTTTGTTACTAGATGTAACATTCTACAGTTGGTTTGTTACGAAGCATAACATATTATATCTACAGTTGGTTTGTTACTAACCGTAACATTCTAAATCTACAGTATTCATATCAAAATTAGGGTAAACATTGTTCTTCCATTTTCTCAGTGCTCAGCTCAGCCTAGGTATTATACTGCCACGTAGATTTTATCTTATATTCATTACTTCATCTAACTTGTTACTTCCCCTTTCTCTCCTGGGTACAACCCCTTGACTAGATTTGTTACTGCTAAAGTTTGGATACTCAGTTAAATTTTTATACTGCTACTGCCACACTATACTGCTGTCTACAGCATTGCTTTCTATTCATACAATTTTTGTGTCATTAAATAGATTAAGTGTTGTTGAGCTTTTTATTACAATCTAGAAGTAACTTTCATTTTAAACTTTTAAAAACTCTAACTGGACTTTATTGTTGAGCATGTAGTTCATGTCATTGTTTTTTTTCTTTCAAGAATTTAAAGAATGTTACAGTGATTTATGTTTTAGTTAGAAAATTGTCCTGGCTAAATACCATTTTAATACCATCAATTGATCTTCACACATTAGGCCTATATCAATTTTCACTATAATTATACCAGCAACTAAAATGTGTACATAACGCATTACATTGACATCATTAGTTTTCAGTACATCATCACATGACCACAGCTACAGATGATTCAATTGTTTTTAAAAGGACAGACAAAATATTTATGACTCAGAGCTTCATTAAGATAATTAATTAGGTTATTAAAAACTAGGGGACTGTCTTAATTAAAAGATGAGCTACAACATCATCAACTGTCCTCCTTAAACAAAATTTTTGTATCTTAACACAACACTTGTATCTTAACACAACACTTGTATCTTAACACAACACTGGTATCTTAACACAACACTTGTATCTTAACACAACACTTGTATCTTAACACAACACTTGTATCTTAACACAACCGGCCTATCTAAACACATACACATACTCATACAATATTTCAATCTAACTAAACACAACTGGCCTACCAAACACACACACAACACTTCCATCTTAACATCTTGATCCCATCTGACTGCAAATGAACGCATCAATTTCACTAGTGATGACCCATTCACCAAAATCCACACACAAGCCCATGTAAGAGTTTTATTTACCCATGACACTTGAACCCAACATTGCCAATATGTTTACCATCCCATTCCAACCAGTTCTAACTGTTGAGCCTAGTGTTTTTTGTCTATCTTAAACACTTTTTATTTCCTTGTTGACAAAATTCTTCCTTTACTTATACAGTTGTTGTATTCTTCCATGTAACTTACCTCTGTGGGCCGTAGTGAACTCAGGCAAGATCTAGTCTTTTTTTATGCGTACTTCAAATATTCAACCATATCTTGCAAATCTAGAATTTTTAGAAGTATAATTCTGATATTCAATTATATTTTGAAAATTTAGGGTTTAAATATTTTAAAAATATTTTAACTATATCTGGTTAGATAATTGTATTTTGCTTTTTCAAAGCTTCATTACTGTGGATTCTAATTGTTGATAGATCAATGTGCATTTGAATGTCATTTGTATTGTAAAATTTTTATTTATTAAATGCAGGTTGTGTACAAGGAAACTGATTAATTGGCTTGTGTTTTTTTCTTGTGTTGTTAGCACTTTAATTAATTAGAGTGTTGTGCAACACACTTAAGTTAATTACATTGTTAAAGCTAATGTAAGAAAATGTAACACATTAATTAATTACCAATGTGTTACCGAAGCCAAAGCAAAGCAACGTTCCCCTTTCAAACCTGAAGGTCTATAGGGGAAGTAGAGTTCACTTGTTTCTGTGACCTTGGCATATGAAGAGATAGTGTGGTCAGCACTATGCCCAGTCGCCTTTACTTTACCTAACGTGATTTAGGTACCCATCAGAGTTGGGTGGACTCAAGGACAATCTACCGACTTCAACCCGGATTTGAACTCGAGACTAACAGGTTAGCAGTCCAGCTCTCAACCGCTAGACCACTCCGTCCTTACAGAAGCCAGTATTAAAAAAATGGGTAACATCTTGGATTCTACTAGTTGTTTAGTACAAAATGATGTATTAAGGTAGTTGCTGAGCTGAGCAGTGGCAGTCTCAGGTGATACAAGCTACACCTGTGTCTGAGTTGATACAAGCTACATCTGTGTCTGAGTTGATACAAGCTACACAAGCTACACCTGTGTCTGAGTTGATACAAGCTACACCTGTGTCTCAGTTGATACAAGCTACATCTGTGTCTGAGTTGATACAAGCTACACAAGCTACACCTGTGTCTGAGTTGATAGAATCTACAACTGTGTCTGAGTTGATACAATCTACAACTGTGTCTGAGTTGATACAGGCTACACAGGCTACACCTGTGTCTGAGTTGATACAAGCTACAACTGTGTCTGAGGTAATACAAGCTACAACTGTGTCTGAGTTGATACAATCTACAACTGTGTCTGAGTTGATACAAGCTACACCTGTGTCTGAGGTGATACAAGCTACACCTGTGTCTGAGTTGATACAAGCTACACCTGTGTCTGAGGTGATACAAGCTACACCTGTGTCTGAGGTGATACAAGCTACACCTGTGTCTGAGGTGATACAAGCTACACCTGTGTCTGAGTTGATACAAGCTACACCTGTGTCTGAGTTGATACAAGCTACAACTGTGTCTGAGGTGATACAAGCTACACCTGTGTCTGAGGTGATACAAGCTACACCTGTGTCTGAGGTGATACAAGCTACACCTGTGTCTGAGGTGATACAAGCTACAACTGTGTCTGAGTTGATACAAGCTACAACTGTGTTCAGTCAACAGAGGTGGATTGGTGACACAGGCACTTTACAGAGGTGGATTGGTGACACAGGCACTTTACAGAGGTGGATTGGTGACACAGGCACTTTACAGAGATGGATTGGTGACACAGACAATTTACAGAGGTGATTGGTGACAGGCACTTTACAAATGTGGATTGGTGATTCAGCTGAAAATAATTCTGTGGACTTATTGGCTTCCTCTGAATCCAACACTCGCTCTTTTAGGCCATATGGCCACACAACACTTTTATTACAAACGAGCCGGCCCGCGGCATAACATACGCCGCTATTTAGTTGTTGTTTTTTCTACTTTTCAGTAATTCATAATTTGTGAATTCGACGGTACCAACGCTGCCACTGAAAATATTTATTTAAAACACTATAAGTAGCACGTTAAGGACCATAACCCCCCCTCCTCCCCCTTCCCCCTCCCCCCCACAGCTCACTAAGATCATGTAGGGGTGGGGGTGGTAGGGAGTGCATTTACAGCTTGTTTTCTAGAGTCTCCCAGAAGAGAATTATATATATAGATATACAAAGACAATCAAGGAGAGAGGACCTATTTCAGACAATTCTGTGATTTCATTTGCCAGGGCTGCCAGATAAAGGTTTTATAATCTCTCAAAGGTTGCATCTTTATTTTTCTTAATCAAGCTAAATCATCAAACTAAATAATGAAAGATCATGTTTTTAAAAAATATTTATTCATAGACCTTTAGAATATAGATTTTTTCTAAACATTTTATACATTAAGAAAAGTGTATTTTTTTTTAGGTATAATAGCATATGGAATAACTTATGTACAATATACAAATGCTATGAAGTAATTTTTGTTAAGGGATGTTGAATTTATACAAATATTTGGAAATATATAAAATTTGACACAATAGCTTTAGTTAGTTGGCAGCTTAAGCCTAAGAAAAGAACAAAAGTTAATTTTAGTAATATAACTTAAATCATCTGTTTCTTTTTACCTAATTACTTGTATCTAAAAGTAAAACAGTATTCTGTTAATAGCATTAAAAATTTAATGAAGGTATTATAAAAATAAAAATGTAGTTACTAAAATTTTTAAATATTTGATTTAATCAGAGTGTTTATACATAAAGAATGAAAAACAGGATTACTATGGTGATTACATTTGTACAACTATGAGTGGAAGTGAGGTAAAAACAGTTTTTAATTTGAAATTTAGTTTAAAAATCAAACTATAAAATAAATGAAACAATTTAGGAAACAATTTGTTTTAAAATAAATTTAAATATGGAAAACAAAATTATTGTGATGTATGTGAAACGGAAAAAAAAAATTTAGCATTAATCCCTTGTTTATAATTGTCTATAATATTCTTTACAGTCATGGTTGAAATGTTAACATACATTTATATTATTTAAATAACAATGAACGAGTTATATATTTATTGCATAACTACACAGCCAACCTCACCTGAACGAACCAGGTGAAGGAAATGTGACACAAACCTGACTTTCATTCTCACAGGTAACACAACAAGTTACCTTGACACATTGACACACCTGGCATACTCCTAAACCACTGATACACATACAGTCACGCATTGCATAGTAAGGATTAACAATTCATTGAAGTATTATATAAATATATAAGTTTGATATACATGTTTAATAAAAAGCATTTCCCCTAACCTTTCAAGATAAAAAAAAAACTTACTACTTTAAGTAAACAATTAACAGAGTAATCCACTGATCAAATATGAAAATCTAATTCCGGATTATTCCTAACTGAAATTTTAAGGGTGTAAAATAATAAGTCTTAGATAAATATTATAATTTTTCACTCATAACATTTTAGCAAAATTAACTATTGTGTGAGAACAATAGATAAATGAACATTTGAACACTCCTAATATTGAAGAGCTATATTGTAAGAGTGGTTCATTCTATACAAATTAAATTATTTAGGTTAGACTTAACAGGTTAAAATTATAAAATGTATGATGATGACAATCAGTAGAATTAAATTCACTTGTGGATAGCTAGTTTTCTAAAATTAACAAAGCAAAGATTATGCCCAAGTGGCTGCTTTAAAAGTTAATTTTTCCTTTAAAAAAAAAAGAACAAAATATAAGTAAGTTGGAAAAAGCACTGAATAACTTTTAAAAAATTTTACTTTTGAAAATAAGAATAACACCTTTAAAAACCAAATATTGGAAATCCTCATTTAAATTAGTAAATGTTAAAAAAAAATTGTATTAAAAAACGATGGAGTTGTTTAAGGTAAAGGATAAACAAATGTATTCAAATTGTATTAGTACCTGGTCTAAAATTTAAAATTTTCAACAAATTATAAAAATACATACTTATTGTTTTCTGATTGCTCTTTTTATTAAAAAACATGTCCCTGTTTATCCTAGTTATAATTGTTCCGAAAAAAATATTTTTCTACTTTTTTACCCTCCCAAAAATTTAATCCACCAGTGATTTCTTGTTGTTTAAACATTTAACTTTCAATCTCACGCCAGTGCCACATATCTTTGGATGGGTCACCATAGCTCAGTGTGGGGTAACTCCTGGCGTAGTATTCAGGTGCCATTGGTCCAAGATATGCACGAGGGTACCCGTATTGCTTGGTGTAGTAAGGGTCAGATCCCACAGCATACACTGGCTCCATAGCTATGGGGTAATCCCTTGGTCTTTGCTTTTCCAGGACTTCCCTGTCCTCATAGCGTTCACTGGTGATGTAACATCCGGCCAGGGAGTAGAAGGTTGCTGCTAGAGCTGCCAGGATCATTCCAACCCAGCCCAGGGCGTAGGACCATCCATAGTTACGTGTGGTGGCGTTCTTCAATAGCTGAGGAGAAAAGGGAGTGAAGTGAAAGAATTCTTAAATGATGTTTGTAAAATTTTTAAGTTCTGTAATCAGACCTTTCCTAACTACAAAACCCTTTTAGGGGGAAGGGAGTGCAGTGAAATAATTTTTTAGTGGTGATTGTTTGATGTTTAGTGTTGGCATCCTACATCTGATTACTCACTACTAATAACAAAACACAACAATTTACCAATTAAGACTTGATACTTTAATTTATTTCTGCCCAAGTATGTTACTTTTTACAACATAAAAATAATTCATAATTTAAATGGTGAAAAAAATGTGGGGTTTGGCTTGAGAGAAATAAATTTCTTCTAAATTAAAAAAAATCTCAATAAAACCAAATTAATCTTAAATTGTAGGCTAATTATATCTGATTGAGGGAGAGAACAAAGATTAAAAAGTTGATATGATTAACAGGTAGAATAAGATGAGACTTACGGCAGACCATTGACTGTAAGAGTAAGCATCAGTCATCTTGTTCCTCTCAATGTACTCAGCTCCATGGAAAAATGCAATGGCAGCTGCTAGTGAGAAGGCTGTAAGAGAAAAGTAAATAAAGCTTTTTTTGGGCAACTGTTATTTGTTGTTGCTTTTTTTAGCAAATCTTTTTTTGTTGTTGCGTTTACAGCTTTTTTTAATGTGATTACTAAAGCAGGCATGCATACAGATGTCTAAACCCATTTGATCATGTTTTCTTTTCATCTTTGGCATGAAGGGGTGTTGTTGTGTTAATGTGATCAGGGTGTTGGTGGGTTGGTGTGATTAGGGTGCGGGTGTGCTCAGGGGTGAAAGTGGGTTGGTGTGATTAGGGTGTTGGTGGGTTGGTGTGATAAGGGTGTTAGTGGGTTGATTGTTGAAACATTTTAATAAACTTATATCAAAGTGTGTTGGCATTTGCTCAAAAAAATGTTGGTTAATATGACACAGATTGTAGCGTTATCATTTGTTATCTTTATATATATAGGCAGAACGGGTATTATCATCATTTATATGTATAGGCAAAAGGGGCAATATCATCATTTGTAGATCCAAGAGGCATCGCTATCATTTATATGTATAGCTTCAAGGGGCATCATCATTTACATTCCAAGGTGCATCATCAAATTTATATGTAAAGGCCCAAGCGCCATCATCATTTATAGCCCAAGGTGCATCATCAACTTTATATGTATAGGCATCATCATCATTGCTATGTAGGCCTATAGTAACTGTGAAATTATGTTCACCCTGAGTACTGAAATTTGTTACTATACTACTGTCTGTACTTGGACATACAGTTTGTTCTTTATAAATGGCATACACTGAGTAAACTATGGTAGTTTTATGGCGCATACTGTTTACAATGTATGTTAGTTTTATGGCATGCACTATCTAAATTGTATGTTAGTTTTATGGTGCATACTGTATAAATTGTACGTTAGTTGTGTGGCACATACTGAATAAATTGTATATTAGCTTTATGGCACATACAGTATAAATTGTATGTTTATTTTACCCACCAGCAGAGTATGAGAAGAGTCCAGCTATGTAGGCCCAACGTGAGAAGCGCAGGCAGCACAGAATAAGGCCAAACACATAGGCCAGGACAAACAACACAATGGCTATGATGAAAAATGCCAAGAAGCATCTGTTCAAGTCTGAAATAACATGGGAAAATTGTAATTGTATTATATTTGGTTAGAACAGTATTTTTGGCTCGTAAGAAATGACATTATCTAATTAAGTAATTAGTGCAGACACCCAGAACACATGTTGGGCTTGTTTCTTTCAACCACAATTAAATTAGATTTTAACTAAATCTAAATTCTGTATGTTATTCAATAATTTGTTTGGGTACTTTTTACTTTCTCGTATATGAAGTATATAGGACGTTATATAGGAAGTGTTGTAATCGTGCAAAAACTCAAAATCAAGATTTTATCAAATCTCTGCATTTTACACCTCCTTGAGTCGGAAAAACATAATTTTTCAAATTTGTCCATATGTCTGTGAGTGTATGTATGTATGTATATATATATATATATATATGTATGTGTGTGTGTGTATGTATATAATGTGTCTGTGAACACGATAACTTGAGTACTGTTACTGCTAAGTTGATGAAATTTCATATATAATTATTATATCAAATTTGTAGTTCTGTATCACCTTTAAGCCATTTCCGGTAACCATAAGTGGTACTTATTCTATTTTCGGTTTTTCAAAAGCCTATAACTTGAGTACTGTTTCAGTTAGAGGAAATAGTTGAGCAACTTACGTAATCTGGATAAGAAATAATTTGGTAACTTACGTAATCTGGATATGAAGTAATCACTGTAGCTGTTGCTGTTTTCTGGCATATCGTAGTCAATGTTGAAGCAGTACCCGTCTACCTTGTCTTTGGCAGTGTCCAAAACTGTAGTGCAAATGAAAGGAAAGTTTCATTAATGGTGCAAGGGTCTAGGACATTAACCCCCCCCCCCCCCTCAAGGGGGTAATTGCTCCAGGATTTTGTCAAAAGGGGGGGGGGGGGTCCAAAGGGTAATTGACGGGGGGGGGGGTTAAGGTAATATCCTACTCCAGTAGCACAGATCAGACTTTCTTTCAGACACTCTGAGGGGGGGGGGGGCATTAGTAAAGTTTTCATAGAAAACTTATGAAGTTGTGGCTAAGGTGTAGGCTACGACAGAAAATGTTGCTGTTTTGTTTACTCTTAGCAGTCGCCACACAGATGAGTGAGTATGCGTGGGGGGTCATTTTATTATGATGATTAGCTACTTGTGTTTCTATGGGGGGGGGGGGGGGGGGAGCTGAGGGGCATACATTTTAAAATATGCCTAGACCCATATGTCAATCTTCACTTAAAAAGCATTTTTTAAAAAAACAAATCATTTGGGTTAGTTTGATGAACATTAGCAGCATTTGATTGACACACTGTAAGAATCTCCCCCCCCCCCCACCTTAAAATCCCCATGTTTTAGAGTTTAGAGGCATAGATATCTACACATAATTTTAAACACTCGGTAGCAAACACCCTGTATATTAATTCTAGCTGTCTTATTCAGAGGTGCCCCAATTTTTTTTTTCCCAAAGGCGGTAATGCAGTTTTCAAGCAGAGTCTTCACAAGATTAATTGAACCTGGATTGGCTGTAAGTTTTCAATGATTCAAAAGCAAAAAAGCATAGAGCCTAACTTAACCAGGGAAGTATTTCATATCAGGATGTCAATGATATTTTCAAGTACCCCCAGCCAGTGTAATACAATACCAGAAGAATGTTGTTCCACGGTTGGGTGGTTTACTTGTGTGCTGCAATATTCGAAATGTCTGCGACAGCAAGACACATTAGATTTTAGATCTTCATACGCACTAGATCTAGATCTATTTACCACAGGATTGCACGATAAAAAATTTAACATGACTCGCCCCATATTCAATGAGTTGCCACAGTGACATGAATTTTTTAAAAGTGTAAAAATTAAACACGAACCAGTTTTTGGTTGCAAACATTTTATAAAAGTAAAAAAAAAATACACAGCCCTTTCAGGTGTGAACAAGGAAGTTAAAGTCTTAGGCTTTCATGTTTTTAAATATTTTTTAGAATTCAATTTCCTTGGGTAATGGAGCCCCCCCCCCCCTCCCCAGCTCCCCCCCTCCCTCCCCCCTCCCTCCCCCTCCCTCCTCCCCCCCTTCCTCACTGACAATCAGTGTCTGTGCTGTTCTTAAGTTTACAGAATGTGTAGACATAAATGATTGGCTCAAGGCTGCCCACAACACTGTTAAAAAAATTCGTCAATTATTTTCACATTTAATCTAAGTTTCCCTTGACTGTGTACCTTATTCATATTAGCGGCAATAACAGGCAATTATATTTTTACATTAGCGACAAAAACAGGCAATTATATTTTTACATTGGCGACAAAAACAGGCAATTATATTTTTACATTTCATTTAAATTTCCTTTGACCTTTTTTTTCTTATTCATAATAGCGACAATAACAATCGCTCCTTTTACGACTGCTCAATAAAGCAGCGTTTGTCAACACTGTACAAAATTTGGCCACATTCCCAGAAAAAAAAACTACCTTTGCCGCTGAACGTTTTTTTTTTCTATCGTGCGCTTTTCGGCCTTCTATTTGCCGAGTTGTCAGAGCGGAGTTGTGTTACAAAACCATGGGGGGGGGGGGGGGGGGGGGGTTAATAATCAATGGAGCCATAGGGCCCAGTATGTAGCAGAGAATAGCGTGCTGTTAATGTGTTTTGATTACTAAAAATACACGTAATGCGGTTATACCCCTTTCCCCCAGTGTTGTATTGTGTAGATCGAAGTTTTGTACTGCTCAACTGAGGACTGAGCCCTCATTTAGAACCTTTTTATTCACGTGTTCAAGTAAATTAAACATTCTGTTTTTACAGCAATTTGCATTTGATGGCTCTAGGTGAAGGGGATTTAGCCAGGTAGGGGTACAGAATAGTACGGGCGAATTGTGATGATCGAATTCTCTAAGACCAATGCGAAATCTCTCCCCCTCTCCCCGTGTGTTTTCATTAATTATTGATGTCTGAAATAGCAACACAAATATGACATACGTGGCTAACCTTACAACGTTTGGTTGATGTTTGTTGTTCTAATTAATGTCAGAAGTCGTGGGCTAATTAAAGGGAAATTAGTTAAAATACCAGTAGCTAAAACATAGACAGACCTACAGTTAAAACATCAGTAGCTGTAAAATAGGTAGACCAACAGTTAAAACATAAGATAAATAGACCTACAGTTAAAACATCAGATAGATAGCCCTACAATTGAAACATCAGGTAGGTGAACCAATAGTTAAATGTAAACATTAATCACGTGACAGAGCCAGGCGTATTAAACAGCACACCACCATCAAGGTAAACGTTTTATACAAGATCGTCTGAACAAACTGAACCCTAACCGCCCGCCGGTGGAATTCTTGCCTTTGTTACTAGGTCTAGGACTAGTCTAGCTAACTAGTTTAGTTAAAAGTAGCAAGAATGCTAGATCTAGAGATTCTGACCGCACTAGGCTAGAGTTGAAACCAGTTTGGTTACAACATGCCAACATCTGCAGGTTTTCACGTTGGGTAAGAAAAAAAAAGTGAAATTGGTTACCGTGATCATTTTTTCACATCAACACGGGGTGGGTGGGGGGGGGGGGGGTCACATTTGAATAGGCTAGGCTAAGATAAGAGGTTACATTTATTGAACGACAGTAAGTTAACGTGCGGTTTCCCTACTTAAGTCGTCGTCCCGTCCCCCGTCCCCCCACCACACTCATTCGAAATTATGCTATGGCTTGTTGAATACAATAACCGTCGAGAAAGTCGTTGCTTCTTTTGCAGGAAGGCAAGACGATAGCAATTCAGCTTTTCATCAATACTAATCATTCGCACCTAGTCACTAAGTTCGAATCCGTGTTGGTTAAGTGAAATAATGTTCACTATTGATTGATTCAATGTCATTGTGCACGCATCGAAATATTCGATTAACTGTCTTTCCATGTTTGGTGTATCGATTGATATCGAAACCGTCGATCAAAAGTCATTTTCTGCTAGCCGCACCGAAAATGATAATAGCATATGGTTTATTTCAATCTTAAAAACTGAAGAATTATAAGCTATAAATAGATTTAGTCGACTTTGTAATGGACACCAGCGAGAGAAGTCTCAAAGGTATTTGAGAGGTCCATAAATTAATTGAAAAATCATGCACGGCGTAGTTACAATTAATATGGTTATAAAAAATCCTGCCTGTCTAGTTTTTTTCGGACTTTACTAAAGATTGGATTTGTATTCCATGTCAACAACATTACGGAAGGATTCTCGTCAACTCACTGGTGTCCATTGCACATAGTATAAGATCTCAGTTCACACGTGAAACGTTTAGTTTGTGGGGGTTTTAGAATTACCATTTTCGGGTATGTCGTCATTTATATAGGCCTACCCACACAATTCACATCCATAAACGCAGACATCATATCGCACTCCATAAAACACCACACACCCGAACTTCACACCTTACTTGCACACATACACAGCCCATAGCATACCTTAATACATACACATACATGCACACATACGCAGCCCATAGCATACCTTAATACATTCACATACATGCACACATACAAAGCCCATAGCATACCATAATATCTGCACCAAACTAACATTCACCCCCCTCCCCATGCCTAACATCCTCATTTCCCTCCTCTCCCCCCCCCCCCCCCACACACATTCGACGACGTAATTTGATTGGTGATTCCACACGATTAGTTTTTTACCTAGTGTCTGCTTGAACTACGTTCAGTGAAGCATGACCCGGTATGTAATGGGGTTTCAAGAATCTGCTGCCCATGACGAAGCCATCCTTTGTCCTCCCTATAAATGGGTGTGTATCCCAAAGCTAGGCTTATAGGCGTATGTAATAAGTTTTTAAATAAATTATCGAGGCTTTTTTTTGTAATGTAGTTATGACAATGTGTAAGATTTTGTTTTCTTTCGATACATTTTTGAAGCATAATTTTAACCGTTCGTATATGCATATATATACCCAGTGGCTTAGCGAGGTCGGGTGTCACCCGGTGCCGCACTTAATGGTGTCACCCCCCAGAGGCGTAGCGACCCTTCCCGGGGACACATTTTCGATTTGCATCCCCCCCCCCTCAAGTTTTTGATTTGCACCCCCTCAAACTTTCGATTTGCACCCCCCCCCTCAAGTTTTTCTCTATATATTTTGCTATTTTTTGCCTTGGTGTCACCCCCCTAAATGGTGTCACCCGGTGCGGCCCGCACCCCCCCCCCCCTCGCTACGCCTCTGTATATTCCCTAGATCTATATTTTATAAGCCCTTATAAAACTACCTGACTTGAACTTGTTCACTAGGTTGTGTCCCTTATCTTACAAGTGGCAGTTAACTCCCCTCATAAACAAGTGGCGACACCTACCATAGCACAAGTCACAATCTACAACTGACAACTGGAAACTACTATGACCGTATGAGGGTGAAATAAAACCTACTACACTTAACTACACACCTCGTTCAATTTTCTCGTGCTATTGTTGTAGGCCTACTCAGGAATGCACATTTGTCTGATAAGAAATCGCCTTAGGCGAAACCAAATAAAATCATAATTTTTGTTTAGGAATTTATTTTCTACAACTAATTTTGTACGATCCATTCTGTATTCTTCCTTCCTTGCCCGATCATCTAGATCTAGGACCCAGAAAATCTAGACTAGATCTAGATTCTAGATATAGATCTAGATTCATGATCTTGAATAGTACTAGCCTACAACGAATGATGAATTTTAATAGACTGAATAGATTTTGTGAATATAGCGTGAAGCGGATTTGTTACATATTTAGAATTAAAAAAAAAAAAACCTTCCTAGATCTAGATCTAATCTAGTTGTCTCTATGAAAATTGGAAGATAATTTAGGACACAAGTTGGGGTTAGTTCCTGCGTCCTATCTCAGTCTTGTTTGGTGTGTTCATGCACACAGTGAGAATATGGGGGGGGGGCGAATTTAATAAGGTGCGTCTATAGTTAAGATTTATATAATCCAGGCTCTGATATTTGCAGTTCAAACTTTATCCCTCAATTATAGTTAGTTGATTGGCTAAGTAAATCCCGTTTTCATCTTTGATTGTTTAATCAGTGGATTTGTTATAGGGCTGGTAAGTAGGTCACCAACCAGTTCTATGGCTCATGCAGGTTTTATTGAGCCGTACAACTAGTTAGTGACCTACTTACCAGCCCTATAAAAGAGCTGTGTGTCGACTCATAATGTTCTCACCCTTATTCTGTAGTCACGTTTGAGCGTATAATCTTACTGAATGTCGACCAGTTCAAAATCATGTTCAATTTCTTCAAAAAACTACACTTTTTTTTTTGCTGAGTTATCCCTAAGACTTTTGTAGGTTTTTATAAATAACTTTAGTTTTTTTCTGAATTAGTACTATAGTTGAGTAGTGGTATTTTTTTCATTCGTTTTTTTTCTCGTCAATATATTATTTTGGAGTTAAAAAGTTAAAATTAGAAAGTTCACAGTAAAAAAAAACAACCAATGACTTACAGGCTGTGTCGTTGCCAGGGTAACATTCCCTAAACAATCCCCGGTCTCTGGAATGGTAGATTTTGGCTCCTTCTGTATTCTTAATATCCGGTTCTGTAACCAGACTTCGGTCAACACGGAACTCCAGCCAGTGGTCAGTGCCGAAGGAGACTGACATGAAGACCAGGGTGATGGGACCCAGAATGGTCGCTATGACAATCAGCGCTGTAGCGCAGGCACTCATTTCTGTGGATATATTTTATAGAGGCATGTAAGGTTAAGATGTTTGATGTAGACCTATACTAATGATGCTATAAATATATTTTATAGAGGCATGTAAGGTTAAGATGTTTGATGTAGACCTATACTAATGATGCTATAACTATATTTTATAGAGGCATGTAAGGTTAAGATGTTTGATGTAGACCTATACTAATGATGCTATAACTATATTTTATAGAGGCATGTAAGGTTAAGACGTTTGATTTAGTCTTATATGTAGGCCTATACTAATGATGCTATAACTATGGACTAACGCAGGCAGTCATATCTGTGGATATATTTTATAGAGGTTGGTAAGGTTAAGATGTTTGATTTAGTCCTACATGTAGGTAGGCCTATACTAATGATGCTATAACTATGGACTAAAGTCCTGTTCAGTGCGATTTGTTTATAATATCACAACCAGGTCTCAACAAATTTAAACCGCCCTAAAGATTACAAGACGTAAAAACTAAGGTTTATTTCAAGAGAAAAAGAGAACAAACAATTCGACAAATGTTACAAATGTAACACCACCTTACCACTCCCCCTCCTCCATCCATCTGCCCATCTACAGAAGCTTGGTCTATAAATGACGTCACACTTATTTTAGGCCTTTTTACCCCCCCCCCCCCCCCAATCACAACACATCGTCAAAAAAGTCAAACTTTATACACTTTAGGCTACCCCTCCCCATTTTCAATTAAAGTTAATTAATCAGCTATTCTATCTTAATTATTATCTGGCCTAGATCTAGGTTAGGTAGGCCTATATTGAAATATTGAAGAGGTATTACATAAAATGCGATAGAACTGAAAAGCTCAGTTTAAAAACTTTTAAAAGGCAAAGATCTGGCGTCCTGCATACTATAATTAGCGCCCCAATTTTCACACATGATTACAACAGAGAGCCCCCCCCCGCCCCCCAGTAGTGTGACGTTTCGTGGACGGCCACATACGCTATCGCCACAACTAAAATATCCCTGACAGTCCACACCCCCACCGTCTATTGACAGAAATAATTGTTGAATCAATATGGTTATTATTAATTTTCCTTTAGCTCGACAAGCCGGGATGAGAACCATTCGCGACAACCATCGAACGAGTCTAGTCTAAGTTATGGTTAGAAATTCGCGGTTTGTTTGCTTGGTGTGTCCACGCAACACTTATTTGTACTTGTCTAACAGCGACCAAACATGACACTGTTGTTAAACAAACCGATAAATAACTCGTTGGTCTTCAAAATATAACATGGTTGGTGTATTATGAAACTAATGTTAGGAAATGATTGATTCCCCTTGATTGTCTCCCTTTGTTGGTTTACTTTCTCCGTCATCACATAGGTTTTTATCAATCAATTGTTTCTAATAACCTGCTTAATTAATTTTTAACGAAGAGGCCCACGATAGCTTAAAAATTAAATTGCTTCTCGTGTATGATATAGCGATTAGTTAATTTTTTAGATGTTTATCAAGAGCATAATTGTAATACATTGTCATGCGTTTTCCGTATATCAGACTTAAAAGACACCGGAATTGATGTACTGAATCAAGTAAATGTAATGTGCATGTTTGGGTACCTAACTCAAGTTAGGGAAAGTAAAGGCGGCTGGGCATAGTGCTGACCACACTATCTCTTCATACGCCGAGGTCACAGAAACAAGTAAACTCTACTTCACTTGCCCTATAGACCGTCAGGTTTGAAAGGGAAACTTTACTTTTACTTTTTTATGTTTGGGTCAAGGGTTAAAAATAGAACACTCTGGTATCTGGACGTGTCAGTTTAACACCAGTAGGGGTGGAGGGAGGGGGGGGGGTGTAACTGGGACACCCAGATGTGACACTATGGGGAGTGAAATTTGACACTGTGGACAATCGTCTACAGGCAACCAAGCGACGGGTCCATGTCAATTCAAAGAAATCAAATTCAAACAGAACAAAAATTAACGCGTCAAGTGTCGGTCTTGGTTTCAGTTAGTTCATAAAATTGTAGCTAACAGTTTGGCGCATAGCCTATATATTATATATTGGTATATATATATATATATATATATATATATATATATATATATATATATATATATATATATATATATATATATGTGTGTGTGTGTGTGTGTGTGTGTGTGTGCTTGCGAGGTTTCTTAACTGTCAAAAAATTAACAAGCCTTTATTTTTTTTATCTTTAAAAGCTATTGGTTGATCTAAAGAAATTTTGAATCTAGTCGGACATTTAATTGAGCAATTTTTTTTTGAACGGTCGTTCTCGCTTTTTCCTTTTTCACTTTGCCGAAAAAGCAATTAACATAGCAAAGAAATGTCAAAAGGTGGGGGATTATCCCCCTTGCTGGATGGTTTTTGGAACCTGTTCTAGCTAACTCCAACAGAAGTTGGATGTTGCATTTGAACGCGGTGGTTCAAATTTGCAACAACTGCGATCTTGTTTTGCTGGGGTTAAACAAGGAGCCTCAGCACTAAGGGTCGCATGCCATGTATCTTTAGCGATATAATTAATGTCGGCTTAACAGGGCAACGTTACATGGGAACACTGTAGCCCTTTTCGTGGGCTTTTGTTGACATGCTAGTTCGTCTTCGGCCAGAGGTTTTGTTGTTTGCCCAAAGCTCACTGTCCTGGTTGCTGATTGGCTAACGCTCGCGTCACGTGTTTGCTCTTCTGCGACCTTTATTTGCCGTCGTCTGCCCGATGTACGCTTGTCGTATTGTAAGATGATGTCAGGGAGAATGGGGAATTGGCTGGATTAAGATCATACAAATACTTTCAAACGCAACGCACGTATGGGTGGGTACTGTCTTTGAATAGCAATTCAAAGCGTGTATCTTGCTAGTGATGTCGTCATTTATAGATCTGATGGGCACTTGTCTGAGGCATGTACACTCAAGTCTGATGTGCATTGACATTGGGGGCCCACACTCATGGGTCTGATGGTCATTCGTCATAGGGGGGCCCACACTCATGGGTCTGATGGTCACTTGTCAGATGGGACCCACACTGATCCCGAGGGCACACATGTTGGATCATTGGGATGGGGGGGGGGGGCATGTGACCTCCCCCTAGAAAATATTCTGCGGCGCTCTTTGGTCCAAGTACACTTTTATTTTACCTAAGGTTTTATTGCTACATAGACAAACACTATATGCCTTCAAACAACGACACTCTCTTTAACGATGGGATACTGTTACTAAAGTTCGGAAAGATATAGTTATAACAAAGACATCAATTAACGCATGTTTAATGCTATTGAAACGATATAAATAAAAAAAAATATTTTGTTTTAAATAATTCAAAGTTTTCAGATAAAGTTCGAAGAAAATATTTTTTATAACTAGAAGATACCACTGATGACTACCACAAAATAGACAGTCCCCGCTAGCTCATCCTTATTTCACACGGAGGTAGATAAACAATGGTTCAATTCCGATTCGAGGACTAGGGTTCGATCCTCTTTTGTACCAAGTCCGACCCCTCCACACCTCCCCCCTCCCCCAGCCGACGTCTAAGTCAACAGTCACCTGCAGTTTTCCCATCCTACCCGTGGGCCGGCACTGTTGATACAAGATTATAGCGTCCTAACTAAATCATGACTAACTCGTCCCAGCTATGGGGCATGACTGACCCAATCTAAATTCGAACTTTTTTTTTCTTTTGATGACACAAATCCTATTTACATTGGGTCGGCGATGACGTATGCTTACATCATTTTGGTTTTTAGGTCATAACTCGATTTCACAAAAACAAAAAGTCTTTTGTCTAGATCTGTCCCTCTCTCTCTCACTCTGGTATACAGTCGTAACCCGCTCAAACTATTATCTTTAGCCAAGGAGACTGGAATATAATAAAGAATCGAGCATTTCTCGTGGGTTTCAGACAGACTTTTGCCCCCCCCCCCCCCCCTACGTCGTACCACCTAAAGGGCAGTTTGATCTGGGGACTTCTTAAAAAAACTGCAGCCCGCAATAAAAAGATTTTTGCGAATCCCCTCCCTTTGCCCCCTGAAGACTACGCCACTGAATGCAGATAAAAGTGTATAGAACAAAGACACCGCCTTGGGCGATATTTTTGTTGTTAGCTTTGTGGATCGACCCACTCATGACCGAGTTAATAAATCACGTATTGTTTCATATCTTCCGCGATCTCTTTTTAAAAATAACTTTCACTTATTCCCCTTTAATACGACCTACATCTACCGTACCGTACCCAGGTATAAATTTTAATATAATTGACAGTTGTATGTGTTGGGGATAAAGTTGGGGCGGGAGGTTATAAGTAGCAGGGGGGAGGGGTGGGGCGGGAGGTTATAAGTAGCAGGGGGAGGGGTGGGGCGGGAGGTTATAAGTAGCAGGGGGGAGGGGTGGGGCGGGAGGTTATAAGTAGCAGGGGGGGAGGGGTGGGGCGGGAGGTTATAAGTAGCAGGGGGGAGGGGTGGGGCGGGAGGTTTTAAGTAGCAGGGGGGAGGGGTGGGGCGGGAGGTTATAAGTAGCAGGGGGAGGGGTGGGGAGGGAGGTTATAAGTAGTAGGGGGAGAGGTGGGGGAGTGTTATTCACAGGTGTCAAGAAAAACCTTACAGTCACCTGTAGTAAATCCCCCTCCCCTCCTTTCTAAAAACATTTGCATTTTTAGCGTGGTTTGTGTTTTTGCGCCCACTGTGTCGCCTATTTAAAATGTAGTTGTTTTTAGAACAAGATTTAGATCTAGTTTAGATTTTTAAAAAAAACAAGCTTTAGATTTAAAAAAAAAAGTCGTTTCCAAATGTATCGTGATGTGTAGTTACATTGTTGCCTATAAACAATTCTATACAAATTATAGGATTGATATATTCAGTCAAAATACTACTATTTGAGTTACTGTCACACACTTTTAACTAAGTGGGTCCTACATGTAGAGCTTTAATACAAGACATGATTTAGTAATTTTTTTATTTTTTGTATAGTGTTAAGCACAGTAGAAATGAAATGCTTATTGCCATTAAAAAGCATGGGCACATGGTAAATCTTCAAATAATCTCACACTGTATATGTTTGGATCTGGTCTATGTTAATATCGGCACATGTGACAGATGTGTCGCACACAAACACAGGTAGGCGTAGAGGCGGTAGAGATTTATATCTCTCAAATAACGTGGAGCGACCCTTGACAAGGGAGACAAATCTCGGTGCTACGCGTCAGCACAGGCTATAGTGTCTATGCTAGTCTATAGGCTATAGGCAAGGAAGTTGTCCTTATTTACTTAGTCTGGGGTTACTGCGCATGTACACACCTACACAATAGCCCAACATTAAATAACATCACACAACGATTCACATCACAATAAAACGACAACGATATACCAGTGTCTCTTTCATACTTTTTTCTTTAGGGTGGGGCGGGCACTTGAAACTCTGGGAGGGGGGTGTCACGTAAATTTCCATGAGGGAGGCGGACACCTGTTAAATTTTTATTTTTTATACACAATTTTTTTTCGATTTCATTCGGGGGAGGGGGTAAACTGAAAGAAACTTCAGAATACATAGTGAACATTACGTCACTGAATTGTAATTTGGATTGTTTTTTTTTTAAATTTTTAACAGGACTTATGTGACGGCGTGTGACGTAAGAGTCAGGAAACTGGTACGTCACACTAGTTACAATAATTTTACAAACTGAAATAGATAGGTTCTTTGACTTTTGAAAAGACTGTATTGTCAACTGTACTAAAATTTGTATCAATGTTCCCCATCTCGACTTGGGGCTGCCAATATGTTCAGTGACCTGTAAGGTTTCAAAGGAACAAAAATGTAAGTGAGAAGGGGAGGTGAAGCTGAAACGGTATGACTTTTGGTGACAATAGGTGTGTTGGCAAATCAGATAAACAGCATGACGTCATGTATGACGATCCCTGATATAAATAAAAATGTTCATGTGTTTAATTCTCCCCTATCTACAAAGATACTTCAGAAACTAGCGTTAATATTGGTGGCTAATACAGCTAGAGTCATCATGAAACGCTACACAAATATAATCAAATCTATTTTTAAAACATTAAATATCTATCTATATTTCAGGTTTATTTACCGCCAGGTTTAACCCTATGTAAGTTTCTATCCTTGTATTTCTATCCCATTGGGCCTACAAAAAGTCAACCAAAGATAGGGTAAAATAGACCGTATTCAAATCAACTTCCTTCTGCCAAAATAGCTAACCTAAGAACACGGGTATTACATAACATCCGCGTTCAGAATTGCAGAGTCATTATCTCAGCGTTAATAATTAAGTCATTAAGTCATCGTTAACATTTCATTACTAGATTTTTATATCGTCGTTAACATCGCTAGACTTGTGATATCATCGTTAACATAACGAGCCTTATAATATTATCGTCAACATTACCAGACTTGCTATATCAGCGTTACTAGATAAAAAGTCAGTACACCCCATGACAAATTACTTATATATCGCCTTTGTTTGTGAAAATATTATATGCATTTCAATTTTATTCATCTTCCTTCATATTTATTTTTATATGGACTATGCTACTAACTATGTGTTTTAAGTAATCAGCAGTTTAATAGATTTATCAATACGTATTTTAAATATTTTAAGCCGATGTTTCAACGAAGAGCAATCATTAACTTGATGCTTTATCTTCTAGAATTCGCACTGCACCAAAGCGCAGTGGCGTGCAACTCTAGACCACATAGCCTCTAGATAATGTTACAACCAGCTCGTGTTTCGTACAAGACACTCGCGTGTACAGCTCCAGAAATAAACTTCACACAGGAGATCACGTCATCGGTCGTAAATCATAGGTGTGCTGAAACACGAGCCGTCGCAAGACAACGCCCATTTACAGCTAGATCCTGCCCGATTCTATACAGATTCTAGTGGTTACATACATTTGTGGCAGTATATGGCTCGATTCTATACAGATTCTAGATAGGCCTATTACAGGATACACAATATACAGCTATGTAGAAATTTTTACCCCGATTCTATACAAAAACTATATATATATACAGCTGTGTAGGAATATCTCTCCCGACCCTATCCCGATTCTAAATGCTACATTCGAACTAAATAACGAATGCAGAAATTATATATATATATATATATATATATATATATATATATATATATATATATATATATATATATATATATATATATATATATATATATATATATATATATATATATATATTATATATATACATATATACATATATACATATATATTATATGAGCGACTATTGTACTATTCGAAAGAAAAACTTTAACGTAGAAGTGTTGTGACATCAGGAGATATGAACTATGATAAACTGTGTGCCTGTTTCACAAAATACTTGAATATCCATATAATTAACTTATGATATGAGAACTTAGGTTGTATAATATCATGTAAGACAATAATTGGACTACACGCTTACAAGTTACATTAAAGACCTAATTAGTGTTAACAGCAAACATCAGTAATGTAGTATTTATAAACAGTTTTAAAAGCTGACTCTTTCTGAATTAGACGATTAATTTAATAACCTGTTATTTTAAAAATAATTACATATTACACACAACTTTATAATTGACTGAGACAAAGTTTCATACTTCTAAATCAACGTTGGCGTAATTTGCAAAAATAATATCTACAAAAACTATTTCAATCCATACCTTAACAAGGTTTTTAACTTCTCAGGCCAAACGATGAGGAGAAGAAAAAAAAATCCTGGAATTATAAAACTTGTAAAGTCTCTTGCCCGAAAAATCCAGCAAGTTTTGTACGAAACCCTCCCTTGTTGTAGCTCTGTGTTCGTGTGTCGTAGCTCTGCCGTCACCGCCCTTTAGCCCGTCACTCCGATCTTACCTGCGACAGGGGAAGGGGACCAACCTTGCAGGCTGTCAGGCATTCACAACCCACACTGTGCCCGCCACTACCCCGCGTGTTTGGTTTGGGTTGACGAAATTCATGCACACCTTGTGCTAACAAAATGAATAGGGAGTCACTTAGGGGGAGGGGGGGGGGAGCTTTAAATATCTTCGTACTTTGTTATATAATTTTGGAAAAAATAGGGCGATTGAGGCAGTTGTTGAAAGCTGACTCGGGTTCTGGTGTGCTAAATATAAACTGACTACATCATCAATTCATGCGATTAACAGTAACAGAAGTCAAACATTGGTTTTATACGACATGATATGACCTTAAGAATTGTATTTCAATAAGAACATGTTTAAAAAATGCAGGCAGTTGAATACAGAGTTTCTTCCAGGCATCTCTTCGGGGGAGGGGGGGGGGGGCCCAAAAAATTTTACCGCTCCGCCCGAACATAATGAAATTTATATAATTTATATAGAAAATATATAATTTTAACAGTGTCCGCCCCCCCCCCCCCGAAGAAAGTCTACCGCCCCCCCCCCCCCCGAAAATTTCAAGTGCCCCCCCCCCCCCCCCGGAGAAAAAAGTCTGGAAGAAACACTGGTTGAATAACAGTCAGCATTTTCGTAAGGCATATCTGTCAGGATTTTGTGGAGTCGTAACTGTCAGCATTTAATTATTGAGACCTAAGTGTCAGTATTTTTTGTCGACCCTTTTGTGAGTTATATCTATCAGCTTTTTGTTGATACATAGCTGTCAAATTTTGGTTGAGGTGTGTCTTACAATTTTAAAAATTGTGGTTCACGGAAGAGGGGGAAGAATGCACTGTAAAAAAGTGGGGGAGTGGGGATGGGGGACACTAGTTTGTAAATATTTTCTATAGAATTAATATATTTGTTTTATTTTGTGCGACTGAGGGTTGGAGGGGAGGGGGGGGGGGGTAGATACGGAAAGAAACTGCTCTTAAGTTGTGAGTTGGCGCCCAGTCCTCAAGTTGTGAGTTGGCGCCCAGCCCTCAAGTTGTGAGTTGGCGCCCAGCCCTCAAGTTGTGGGCTGGGCGCCCAGCCCTCAAGTTGTGGGCTGGGTCCAGATCTAAAGGTGTGATTGTTGTTTAGCCCTGCGATGCTTTTTACCCTCCCCACTCCATAAGACGGTTCATAAAACCTACAAACCACCCCTACTCACATCGGCACCTATCCGGATGTTTGTATTATTTTCTAATGTCAGTTTGTCATTAATTCCGATGCTATCTGTACCAAATTTCATGACAACATTCTGGATGGGTAAACATGTTTTCTACTTTTAAAGATTTTTTTTTTGCGTCTATTCTTTATCACACGGATACATGCCAGTTTCTTTCAAAACCAAGACCTAACCTTGAGTGGTCAACTTCAGTCAACTTGCGGTATTGTATTGTATTAGTGCTTATGTGGGGGAAGCGATACAAGTATACATTCACTAAAGTAAGGCATCACGTAGCTTTCTAAAATCTGCACTGGGAATGTATTAAGGTATGCTATGGGCTGTGTATGTGTGCATGTATGTGAATGTATTAAGGTATGCTATGGGCTGTGTATCTGTGCATGTATTAAGGTATGCTATGGGCTGCGTATGTGTGCAAGCAAGGTGTGAAATTCGGAATATTGAACATATACAAACTGCAAGAAATCCAGTGGCGGAACTAGAAAAAAAAGGCTCCCCCGCAAAAAAAAATTTGGGCCCCCCCCCCTATATGTATATATATATATATATATATATATATATATATATATATATATATATATATATATATATACATACATACATATATATATATATATATATATATATATATATATATATATATATATAAGTAGCCCGCTCCTCTAAATTTTAAATGGTGTATTACCTGAGTATTTTAATCAATTTTATATCAATGTATAACCACTCTGATATAACGAGCCAGACAACAAAGTCAACAATAAGTCCGAACTCATTTCGGGCCTGTAATAATCGTGTTTTACAAATGATTGTATTATGCCTTGTGGTTACCGAAAATTGCCAAAATAATGTTGGCTGGTCAAAATTATATAAACACGTAAGCTTGATTTTGCAATGGTTTCTCGCGTTATGTTTATTTTTATGATTTTTTGTATTTATATTATTAGTTTTGAATACATTCATTTTTATAGCTATAGAATTCTTTAGTATGCCTCATTTAAATAATAAATAAGAGAATAAATGGCTCTTTAATTTACATAGTACAAAACTATTTAAATGAACTTTGTGGGCACTTGTGTTTTAATGAAGGGCAGTAAGTCATGGAAGTAGTGTGAATGTTTGCCTATCTTTCAAAGCAGAGCTCTTGTAGATTTTATATTTTTCTACGCAACAGTGTGTGTTAGTTACTGTAGAACAATCACTGCTATAGTAGACCTGTTTGTTTTTTTACAAAACCACTATCAAGGTGCACGAAAAACATTATTTATGAAAAGAAAATTCATTGTTTTTTGGTCGGAATTGGGCCCCTAAAGGTCGTGGGCCCCCCCGCATTGCGGGGTCTGGCGGCACTGTAGTTCCGCCCCTGAAGAAATCCAGTTATCTGTTGTCAACTAACACTTTCTTTTGAGGAGTGACCAATCAGTTATTGTGTTACATTTTTATGAGCCGCGTTGTAGCCAATCAAAAAATTCCTTTCAGTCAGTTTTCTGTATTTTACTCCACCCTTCCATTCGGAGGTTAAAAACAAAGTGCTCGCACAGACAGTTTAAGGAAATACTTGTCACCGGCAACTTGCTTTGTTAGCCCAGAAATGCATCTTTGTTGCGCTGCTTAACAAAGGGGAGACAATTTTATTTCTCACGAAATAAAAACACGATTGTCTTCATGACATGCAAACTTAAGTCGTTCCTCGTTCGACTTTCTACGTTGTAATGTAGTTTCGGTTAGTGTGTTGCCTACATCCTGCTGTCCTAATACAACTGTCGTCATCCTGCTGTCCTAATACAACTGTCCACATCCTGCTGTCCTAATACAACTGTCCAATCCTGCTGTCCTAATACAACTGTCGTCATCCTGCTGTCCTAATACAACTGTCCACATCAGGGGCGTAGCGAGGGGGGGGGGGGCGGGGGGTGCGGACCGCACCGGGTGACACCATTTAGGGGGGTGACACCAAGGCAAAAAATAGCAAAATATATAGAGAAAAACTCGAGGGGGGGTGCAAATCGAAAGTTTGAGGGGGGGGGTGCAAATCGAAAACTTGAGGGGGGTGCAAATCGAAAGTTTGAGGGGGGGGGGGTGCAAATCGAAAATTTGAAAGTTTGTCCCTGGGAAGGGTCTCTATGCCTCTGGGGGGGGGGGGTGACACCATTAAGTGCCGCACCGGGTGACACCCGACCTCGCTACGCCACTGGTCCACATCCTACTGTCCTAATACAACTGTCGTCATCCTGCTGTCCTAATACAACTGTCGTCATCCAGCTGTCCTAATACAACTGTCCACATCCTGCTGTCCTAATACAACTGTCGTCATCCTCCTGTCCTAATACAACTGTCCACATCCTGCTGTCCTGATACAACTGTCGTCATCCTGCTGTCCTAATACAACTGTCCACATCCTGCTGTCCTAATACAACTGTCCACATCCTGCTGTCCTGATACAACTGTCGTCATCCTGCTGTCCTAATACAACTGTCGTCATCCAGCTGTCCTAATACACCTGTCCACATCCTGCTGTCCTAATACAACTGTCCACATCCTGCTGTCCTGATACAACTGTCGTCATCCTGCTGTCCAAATACAACTGTCGTCATCCTGCTGTCCTAATACAACTGTCGTCATCCTGCTGTCCTAATACAACGGTCGTCATCCTGCTGTCCTGATACAACTGTCGTCATCCTGCTGTCCTAATACAACTGTCGTCATCCTGCTGTCCTAATACAACTGTCGTCATCCTGCTGTCCTAATACAACTGTCCACATCCTGCTGTCCTGATACAACTGTCCAATCCTGCTGTCCTAATACAACTGTCGTCATCCTGCTGTCCTAATACAACTGTCGTCATCCTGCTGTCCTAATACAACTGTCGTCATCCTGCTGTCCTAATACAACTGTCGTCATCCTGCTGTCCTAATACAACTGTCGTCATCCTGCTGTCCTAATACAACTGTCGTCATCTTGCTGTCCTAATACAACTGTCCAATCCTGCTGTCCTAATACAACTGTCGTCATCCTGCTGTCCTAATACAACGGTCGTCATCCTGCTGTCCTAATACAACTGTCGTCATCCTGCTGTCCTAATACAACTGTCCACATCCTACTGTCCTAATACAACTGTCCAATCCAGCTGTCCTAATACAACTGTCGTCATCCTGCTGTCCTAATACAACTGTCGTCATCCTGCTGTCCTGATACAACTGTAGTCATCCTGCTGTCCTAATACAACTGTCGTCATCCTGCTGTCCTAATACAACTGTCCACATCCTACTGTCCTAATACAACTGTCGTCATCCTGCTGTCCTAATACAACTGTCGTCATACAGCTGTCCTAATACAACTGTCCACATCCTGCTGTCCTAATACAACTGTCGTCATCCTGCTGTCCTAATACAACTGTCCACATCCTGCTGTCCTAATACAACTGTCCACATCCTGCTGTCCTAATACAACTGTCGTCATCCTGCTGTCCTAATACAACTGTCCAATCCTGCTGTCCTAATACAACTGTCGTCATCCAGCTGTCCTAATACAACTGTCCACATCCTGCTGTCCTAATACAACTGTCGTCATCCTGCTGTCCTGATACAACTGTCGTCATCCTGCTGTCCTAATACAACTGTCCACATCCTGCTGTCCTAATAGAACTGTCGTCATCCTGCTGTCCTAATACAACTGTCGTCATCCAGCTGTCCTAATACAACTGTCCACATCCTGCAGTCCTAATACAACTGTCGTCATCCTGCTGTCCTAATACAACTGTCGTCATCCTGCTGTCCTAATACAACTGTCCAATCCTGCTGTCCTAATACAACTGTCCAATCCTGCTGT